TGCAGCAAAGACTTCGCTCTTCAGCTTCAGTGGAACCACCACCTTCAGCTTGGAGTAGTCATCAATGAATGTGACCCAATACTTCTGACCAGAGTGGGAATCAATGCCAACATAGTGAACATCAGAGTGTACCAATGCCAACAGCTCATCAGCTCTGTTGGATGACGAAGGAAATGGATTTGCATGCATCTTCCCAGTTAGACAGGGAATACAAACAGGATCTGGCTTTGCAGAAGAGTCCAGTGTCAATCCAACCACCATTTCATCCTTAATCATCTGCTTAATTCCGTCATGGTGTTGGTGGCCAAGCCGTCTATGCCATAGAGTCAGATCCAAAGGCAGAGTGGATGCAACATGAACAAATTCTTTTGTGTCTACTGTACTACCATCTAAATAGCCTATACCAGCATCATTGATTGTAGCACAGAACAAAAGAACATCATTACGAACAAACTCCATTTTCTCCTTTGTGATATGAACATTAAAGCCTTTATTGCGAGTCAAGTACAAAACAGCAAGCAGATTATTGCACAATGCAGGAACATAGAGTACTCTAGTGATCTCCACATCTCTAACTTGTCTACCATTAACTACAGGTCTGAAGAGCACATTTCCGACGCCCTCACTATATACAATGGTGTGATCCGCTAGCCTAATTGGCACTCTATATGTGGTATAATTGCGAATCCATTCTTTGTGAGGTGTCATATGAGAAGTGGCCCCTGTATCTGTATTCCAATGGGTATCATTAGAAAATGCAGCACAAGCTTCATTCATAGAACGAGCACTTGCCTGACCAGCAAACTCCGTCGCAGCATCTGCCTTTTCCACTGCCACTTTGGCATTGCTCCCCCCTGATCCACTTTCTTTGTTGCTAGCAATGACCTTCTTCAATGCTTCACAATCCTTCTTCCAATGACCCTTGCCCTTGCAGAATGAGCAGGTGTCTGCATCAACTGTGGGGTGACCTCTGCCCTTTCCATTGTATGCCCCGCCCTTCTTTCCATAACCCTTGTGACTGGCTCTATTCGCTTGCTCAGTCTGGCGCTGACGATTAAGCTCTTCGCTTCGGAATGCTTGGAGTATAGTATCCTTGTCCAGCTTTTCCATTAGCAACAAAGAAGCTGACAAGTGCTTGTATTCATCAGGCAAAGCCCGAATCAATGCCATGCACTGTAGCTCTTCGTCTAACTGCTCAATGGTAAAGCCTGTTGGACGCAGATTTTGGATATTAGCCATTGCCTTGCTAATCCTGACTCCCAAATCGATGAGACCTTCGTTGTCCTCCTTGTGGATTGAGAACAGGTCGTCATAAGCATTGAAGCGTGCGCCGGGCTTCTTGGATAGGTGTGCCTTCTCTATGGCAGCCCACATTCCCACTGGATCATCCTCTAGACCTCGGAAATGAATCCTTTGGTCCGCCTCAACCAACAGGTAAATCTCCCCAGCAGCCTTTTCAGCTTTTGCCTCCCATTTGGTCAGCTCAGCCTTGTCTGAAGGTTTAGATTCCCTTCCAGACACTAGTCTCCACAGCCCCAGTCGCATCAGATAGGCCTTGGCTTCACCACACCACTCCTGATAGTTGGAGTTGGTCAGTGGCTTCACCTTGACCCCATTATCTGAGCTTGAACTAGTAGACATAGTGTTTCAATACAATTTATAGTCTTGTGTGACTGACAATTAACAGCTTAGAGTCCTGTGATGACTATCAATAACAGCTTAGAGTCCTGTAGTGACTATCAATAACAATGTTATAGTCTTGTTGTGACTTTCAATAAGCTCCAATAGGCCAAAATGCGAGATCAGTACTCAATGAGTCACTAGATCAATCACAATAAACCCCCAGTATAACAATAGGCAGCAATTCAATAATGCAGGAACAATCAATCAGTGTTGTCAAGTTAGAGCTCAGGGCCCATAACCTGTTAAAATCAGGGGCAAGAAAAGATGGCCAGACTAGGGTTTGAACCAAGGACCTCCTGGATGCTTTCCAGACGCTCTAACCATCTGAGCTATCTGGCCTTGTTCAATGACTGCACAACCAACAATTATGTATTCCCCATCACATGACCACCCAACCATTTATTCATTACTGGCCGGGCAATGCCCCTTTCCAGTCCATTCAAATGGTGATCATGTGCCGGATTACATCATTCCAACATGTTAAAATCAGGGGCAAGAAAAGATGGCCAGACTAGGGTTTGAACCAAGGACCTCCTGGATGCTTTCCAGACGCTCTAACCATCTGAGCTATCTGGCCTTGTTCAATGACTGCACAACCAACAATTATGTATTCCCCATCACATGACCACCCAACCATTTATTCATTACTGGCCGGGCAATGCCCCTTTCCAGTCCATTCAAATGGTGATCATGTGCCGGATTACATCATTCCAACACAGCCCCCTAATCCAGCACATCAATTCACACGCTCAGGTGACCAATCACCTGATGCAGGGCCCATAACCTGTTAAACTTTAGGCTATTATAGTCTGATTAGAAGCTTGTAGAAGCGTCCTAATGCACTCTAATTGCCTTGGTAACAATCACTAATGATGTTGATGCAATCAATCAATAATATGTAATGATTTGCGCTCTATTGACTCTTTGTGTCTATTACTCTAGACATGTAAGGAAAATGACCATCCTAGGTTCCCACGGGTACTGTTCTGCGCGAGGCGTGAAGATTGGTGTCCACTAAATCGCGTCCGAATTTGATTAGCTCCGGAGCAGCTTGGGAACATGCCAGACATCATTCTAATGATGGCTCCATGTTTCATTTTCGCTCCTTTTGCTTCCCTGCTGAGACCGAGGCGTTCCGGTGCCTGTTCCGGCGGTCACAATAGAGGTCAACAGACCTACTAATGGGGCGCTGAACGTGGGAACGTTGCATTGACCGTGGGAGTCGTGCGCTTGTAATATATGTACAGATTGCTAAACAGTGCTTGCGCACTTTTAGCAATCCTGTCAACACCAGTCATCCCATGATGACCTGGGTCGTTCCCATGGGTGTTGGCAGTGTCTATGGGTGGTCCCCAATGCGTGGGAACCGGGCGCTTAGTATAGCGCAACTTTGTTATACATTTGTACAACAAGTGTGCACATCACTTCAACACACTTGGTAGATTGTGGACAGATACAGGCTCCTTATATACTACTATCTACCTAAGATATAAATAGATGCACAGTCAATACCTAGTCAGTATGACTCACATCATTAGTAAGATACTTCTATAAAGTTTTACTGCGAACTGCGTGTCTGACTCATGTCCTGATGGTCATGGTCATGTGGAGGTGCATGTGCAACACTCCACTCATCCAGAGTCAGTTTAGACTCTATCTAGATTGAACCCAAAACTCTATCAAGAATTCAGATAGATTACACTTGTCCTGAATGACTCTGTGTGTTAATTCACAATCAAATAGTTCAATAAGTCATGTATGAAGTGGTGATTTGAAGTTCTGGTAGATTATTAAACAATTTAAATGCTGCTCAGAGTAGTACACTAAATAGACTCAGATTGGATTAGTCACATGGGAGTAAGTTATATAAACTCTTAATCTTATCATCTGATAATATTATGCACCCATTCTAAAGAACACTGAGACTCAGATAGACTCAGATAAGAGTCATTACAAATGCAATTGAACTTGTGATTTGAACAATAGGAATCTACTAATGTACACATGCTTCAGAAGAGAGTCAACAGTTGTGTAATAACCTCTAACTTACTCCATAGAAAAAAAAACAATATCTGTGATTGATTTGATATTAGAAGGCTCCATTGCCGAGTAATATGAGAATCAAAATCAGTATAAATTCAACTCAGACTCTTAGCCCAACTTGCCAAGATTGCCACATTTTATATGGCTGAACTCTGACCTGGCTCTCACTAGACTATGGTTAGACTCCAGCTCCACTCCAGCTCCACTCTAAGTAACTCTGGTAGCTTAAACCTATCAGAGTGAACCTGGATTTGGATGGAGTCCAACTTGAGTGCAGTCTGAGTCTGGATCAACTGTGAAACTCCAAGTAGAGTCTATATAGAGTCCATTCCACTCCAGATGGTTTTGGCCTGTGAAACATGTCAACTCTGACCTGACTCTGACCTGACTCTGTTGAAGTGATGTGCACACTTGTTGTACAAATGTATAACAAAGTTGCGCTACATAAGCGCCCGGTTCCCACGCATTGGGGACCACCCATAGACACTGCCAACACCCATTGGGACAACCCAGGTCATCATGGGATGACTGGTGTTGACAGCATTGCTAAAAGTGCGCAAGCACTGTTTAGCAATCTGTACATACAATACAAGCGCACGACCCCCACGGTCAATGCAACGTTCCCACGTTCAGCGCCCCATTAGTAGGTCTGTTGACCTCTATTGTGTTAAAATCAGGGGCAAGAAAAGATGGCCAGACTAGGGTTTGAACCAAGGACCTCCTGGATGCTTTCCAGACGCTCTAACCATCTGAGCTATCTGGCCTTGTTCAATGACTGCACAACCAACAATTATGTATTCCCCATCACATGACCACCCAACCATTTATTCATTACTGGCCGGGCAATGCCCCTTTCCAGTCCATTCAAATGGTGATCATGTGCCGGATTACATCATTCCAACATATTGTGACAGCTGGAACAGGCACCGGAACACCTCGGTCTCCACAGGGAAGCAAAAGGAGCGAAAATAAAACATGGAGCCATCATTAGAATGATGTCTGGCATGTTCCCAAGCTGCTCCGGAGCTAATCAAATTCGGACGCGATTTAGTGGACACCTATATTCACGCCTCGCGCAGAACAGTACCCGTGGGAACCTGGGATGGTCATTTTCCATACATGTCTAGAGTAATAGACACAAAGAGTCAATAGAGCGCAAATCATTACATATTATTGATTGATTGCATCAACATCATTAGTGATTGTTACCAAGGCAATTAGAGTGTATTAGGACGCTTCTACAAGCTTCTGATCAGACTATAATAGCCTAAAGTTTAACAAGAACCAGATGCAGAGCCAGAGTTGGAGCCAGAGTCAGAGCCAGAGTCAGAGTCAGTGTTCATTTCAGTATCCGAATCATCATCAGCGACAAGGGAGTCAAGCTGAAGCCTGTCTTTGATAGCACGGACAAAGGCAGCCATCCAGCTAGTCACGACCTGAGTGTTGGTAGGGACAGCTTGTTGTTGACCATGAAGGTTGAGAAGGTCGGTGTTGTTGGTGACACTGAAGAGGAGCATCAAGACGGTGGCAAGAGTGATGTCGGCACCAAAGCTGGACTTGATCACTTTGGCAAAGTCTGCAAAAAGGATGCCTGGGAAGGGATCCTCCAGTGGTGCTGCAGAGACACATGGAAGGAGTCTGAGGAGCAGCCAGAAAGAGAGCAGCATGAGCAGGGCCTGTAAAGAAAAACTGCTGAAGTCAGTACAACTTGAAATGCAAGGTGAGATTCAAACAAGAAATGGCAACACGAAATCATTTGAATTACATCTATGATTCACAAACAAACTACCTACTTCGAAGTTGAGGCCTTCTTGGACTTCTTTTCCTTGGCCAGCCTGGCCTTCTCCTTGGCCCTCTTCTCCTTGTCCTCCTTGTCCTTCAACTCCTTCGTGACAGCTGCCAAGTTCTCCTTCGTAAGCTTGTGAGTTCCCCAGACAGCTCTGTGTTCCTCTGAGCTCTGATCGTAAGTGGGGTCGTTCAACAGAGCATGGAGGATGGGGAACTGCTCAGCGTTGTTGAACATCTTGGAGTAGGTGTTGTAGTTGGTCTTGCGGATGTAGAGTGAGCGAAGTTCGTCGATGGAAAGATCATGACCAGTCCACTGTTAAACTATAGGCTATTATAGTCTGATTAGAAGCTTGTAGAAGCGTCCTAATGCACTCTAATTGCCTTGGTAACAATCACTAATGATGTTGATGCAATCAATCCATAATATGTAATGATTTGCGCTCTATTGACTCTTTGTGTCTATTACTCTAGACATGTAAGGAAAATGACCATCCCAGGTTCCCACGGGTACTGTTCTGCGCGAGGCGTGAATATAGGTGTCCACTAAATCGCGTCCGAATTTGATTAGCTCCGGAGCAGCTTGGGAACATGCCAGACATCATTCTAATGATGGCTCCATGTTTTATTTTCGCTCCTTTTGCTTCCCTGCGGAGACCGAGGCGTTCCGGTGCCTGTTCCGGCGGTCACAATAGAGGTCAACAGACCTACTAATGGGGCGCTGAACGTGGGAACGTTGCATTGACCGTGGGAGTCGTGCGCTTGTAATGTATGTACAGATTGCTAAACAGTGCTTGCACACTTTTAGCAATGCTCTCAACACCAGTCATCCCATGATGACCTGGGTCATCCCAATGGGTGTTGGCAGTGTCTATGGGTGGTCCCCAATGCGTGGGAACCGGGCGCTTGGTATAGCGCAACTTTGTTATACATTTGTACAACAAGTGTGCACATCACTTCAACATCCACTTCCCTGCATTCTTCAGTTCCAACCACTTTGCTGGGACTTGGGCAGCTGCCTTCATCCGAGCATAGATCTGCAGGATCTCACCCTTCTGAGATGCCTTGGGCGTCATGCTGTAGGGCACCTTCAGCATGATGGCAAGCTGAAGAAGGGCGGGGTCGGAGAAGGCGGTGGTGAGCTGCTGGGAAATGGTAAGCGAGGCGGTGTCGGCACCAGCAGTGGAGACAGAGGCAGAGGGGGCAAGAGATGAGATGGTGGAGGGAGCGTCGACAGAGGTGACAGAGGGGGGTGGAAGCCAGAGCCTTGGGTTGAGCGTTCCTGAGTGAGATAGAGTCAGAATTTTTTTCAAGTCAAGTCGGAATTTGCTTACCATTAACAACTCCATTTCCTTGTTGTTGTCCCACTCAACAGGCTCATCCCCCTCAATAGCCACAGCAAATGGGCCCTTCATCTCCCAGTCATCGTTGACCCACAACGAGATGTCAGAGTCTAAATGGCAACAAATAGTAAGCAAAAAACGCCAAGTCAAAATGTGTGACATACCTGCAAGAGCGGTCATTTTCTTGACCATAGCCTTAAGGACAGGCCCCAAGGTGTAAGCCAAAGGGATCCTTACAGCACGGGGCTTAGCGATGGTGCGGTCCTCATGCTTGTACACCAAGACCCTGCCCTCATTGTGAATGGGGACAAGGTCTGCTTGCTGGGTATCTAAGAAAGAAGTCAGTAAGTGAGCCAAGTATGAAAAGCACAAACTCACTGAAGTCAGCCATGTTGGGGGCTACCCCATGTCCTTTGGCCCTTGCAACTCCACCCATGGTGCGGGAGGCGCCTTGCAAATCATTGAAGTCGTCAGCGATGGGAGAGGAAGGCATATCATTGAACCCAGCAAAGACAGGAGCAGGCAAAGGTGTATTGTTGGCATGGTCAGCCTTGCTGCGCTGAGCTACATGGCGATGGGTGATGGGAGAGGCGCTAGCCTGACGCTTGGAGGCAGGCAGGTTGCGAGGGGTGATGTTGGAGTCGAGGTCCATGGCATCGTCACCTGTGTCAGAACTCTTGTCGTCACCTGCATTGGACACCTCATCACTCAACATCTTTTCCTTCTCCTCCTCGCTCGATGTCTTCTCCTTCTCTTCATCGTCATCCATGTCCCCTGGCCCTTCATCACTCAACTTCTTTTCCTCCTCCTGATCCTCCTCTTCTTCGTCATTATCCTCTGGCTCGTCCTCTGCGTCAGATGAGCCGAGATTGGTCAAGTCGCGACCTTTCCCCTTGTCTACGACTTGGGGAACATCACCCGGATCAGCACGGCGAACACGGGTGGAGACAATCCTCGGAGCGACTGGAGGTAGGAGAACCCCAGTCCCAGCTCGACGAGGTGGCGGAGCAAGAGCAGCCCCACTCTCACTGAGAATTCTAGATGTACTGGTGCGGACAGTCAGTTTGTGGACACAAGCAAGAGCAAGTAAAAACGTACGCAGTCATCTTCTGCACAGTAGGTTCCTCAGCCTCTTCATCTTCTTCATCACGGTTGGCGGAGGTCCTACAAACAACCAGCATGAAGAGAGGATGAGTAAATAGACAACGGAGGACTTACTTGGTTTTCTTGTTGGTCTTGGGAGTCTTCTTGACTTGTTTAACTTGCACAGGGAGGTCCTCACTATCAGACAAGGTGTTGTCAATTCATTGTCAATTTATTTGAATTTAAAAGGAATTTATTTATATTTATTACTAGACTAAGTACTACTACTACTAACTACTACTAATGAGAATGAGAGGGGGCTGACTCACCTGAGGGCCTCTTGAAGGGCCTTGGTTGCTGACCTAGTTGACCTGGGCTTGTTGGGAGTGCTGGTGGTGGCACGACAGGTGACAGTAGGCGTTGGGGGGTGCATTGGGGGGGCAACGGCAGGCGTTGAGGGAATGGCGGAGGCCATTGGAGGGTGATGGGGGGCAGGCGTCATTGTCGACGGCAATGGGGGGGACAACGGGGGGCAACGGGGGCCATTGGGGGCGTCGACAGTGATGGGGGGACGACAGGGGATGTCGATGGCGTTGGGGGGCATAGGGGGGCGTTGGGGGGCATAGGGGGGCGTTGGGGGTCGTCGACGGCGTTGGTGGGACAACGGGGGGGGGTGCGCGTCGTTGTCGTCGGCGTTGGGGGCGTGTTGGGGGGCGGGCGTCGTCGTCGACGGCAATGGGGGCATAGGGGGCATAGGGGGCATAGGGGGGCGTCGACGACGTTGGTGGGACAACGGGGGGGTGCGTGTCGTCGTCGTCGCTGTTGGGGGGCGTTGGGGGCGTGTTGGGGCGTGTTGGGGGGACAACGGGGTGCGTTGGGGGCCGTGTGGCGTCGTCGACGGCGTTGAGGGGACGACGGGGGGTGCGCATCATCGTCGTCGACGTTGGGGGGCGTTGGGGACGACGGGGGATGTTGATGGCGTTGGGGGGGCATGGGGGGGGCATTGGTGGACGTTGGAGAGTGGGGGGAGAGGCGGGGCGGCGGTCAGTTGTATAAAAAGGAGGGGGGCGGGCAGCTTACCTTGGCCTGCCCTCCTCGTTGTTCCTGGCAGCTCCTCCGCGTCCTCGCGACGTTGGCTTGCGTGGGGCATTGCGACGTTGGGGGGGGGGGGTTTGGTGAAAGCAAGAGGATGGGGGATGGTGGTGGTTGAGGGGAGAGAGGCGGCAGTGCCAGCGTGGCACGCCACTGTCACATGCACGTGGCGTCGCGGCGATTGCCGGATAGGCGCGCGCCTAAATAAAAAAAGTAAAGTAAAATAAAATAAAAAGAATATTAATATTCGTGGTAAAGCGCCCAATAAGCGCCCGTCCGGAAAAAAATGAGTTATCATCGGATAACCCTTGCTAACTCATTTTTGGACGTCCCAAAGCGGAAATTGCCTCAGAAAAACACCAATAAATTGTAGAAAATTCAAATAAATTCACAGAAATTGTCTAAAAATTGTTAAAAATATATATGTATATACAATTGCATTATTATCAATTGGTGTTCAAGTGACATTCACTTGGTGTTCAATTGGTGACCACTTGGCATTCTACTGAATTTTCAGTTGGACACCAAATGAACACTAATTATTCACTTAGTTCACTTGGTGTTCAACTGGTGTCCAACTGAACTGAACTGAACTGAACTGATATTTAACTGAACTTTCGTAGCCATTTCCCAGCCAAATAAAAAATGTCAAAAATTCAGTTGAACACCAACTGAACACCAATTGGACACCAGTTGCCAACTGGATCCAGTTGGTATCCAACTGAAGACGTGGTGAACTGTCAGGTGCTCATTCAAAAAAAAAAAGGTGAAGAGTGGTAGCATTGTCGCATGTCAAGGTATCAACGAAGTCACGGGGGAGGAAGTAGTTACTCTGAGTATACACACGGCAATCAGCAATGTCATGCTGGCCAGCGTGAGTGATTTGCTTGAGCGAGTTGTTGCCGTTGAGTACCAACATTCGGCGGAAAGCAAGCTCAGGCTCACCCTCAAGCTGTCAACGAGGGTCAGGCATGCAATCAACGGGGCAGGACTGGCTCACCTCATACCCGCAGGGTGGACAGGCATTGAGGACATGCCAGTTCGGCGTGTTTCGCCCAAGCGCCTCGCAAATGTGCTTGTCAATTGTGTGCAGGAGAAGGAGATAGATGTTGTATGTATTTGCCAAAGCATTGCGCCAGCAATAGCGGTAGGGTGCCTAGGAGTTTTTGTTAGTTGGGGGGTTAAGAGAAAGCGGGAACTATACATTGTATAGGTCACAAAGGACCTTTGTAAACGCCTCATAGCTGAACAAGGGCTTCTGTAGATGTAGCCGGTGATAGAGTTCCAACGTCTTCAGGGAGATGGCAAGGGTGGGGGCCTGAGGAGAGGCACCAATGTATCCATTCCGCACGAGGGCAACAGCAGCCTCAGTATCAGGCGTCCAGTGGATGGTGGTGGTGTGTTCAAGGGTGTAGAGATCAATGATGAATACATCAAAGTCTTTGTTGGTGGTCGAATCGTCTTCAGATGAGGATTGCTCCATTGGCAAGGCATTCTTCCACCTGATGAGGGCGTCGGTAAGGTCCGGGAGAAGGCGCTGCCAGTGAAACCACACTCATTCAAACTTCTCGTGTTGTGTATGGTGATCTCATCTGTGGTGCACTCCATCCCATCTGGTGTATGGGATGTTCTCATAGACATGTAAGGAGGAAGAAAACGTACACACCTGGTAGAAAGCATGTCATGCATACTGTGCAAGAAGAGCTGATCACCATTTAACTCATTTGGTAAAGTCTCCCATTCCATCTCATTGTCTTGCATGTCATCAAGCGTCGGACTGTTGGAAGGCTCTGTCTGGTTCTTCGGAGTGGACTTTGGTACGTATGTCGGCCACAATTCATTGAGTCTCTGTGCTGAGAACTGTCATGGTTCAGTGAGTAAGTAGGAAGGTAGAGAGGTACTGACACTGTAAATCTTGATCTGCCTCTTGAAGCGCTCGTTTTCGTTTGCGTTGATGCGCTACAAGGGACCTTGGCTGAAATGTTGATCGGCCACCCATTTGCCGGTCAGCAACCACAAGGTGGGCACTGTGAGACAGGCCTATTGATGAGCGGGCCATGATTGTTGAAAGGAAAGGCCGTGGGAGAATCTGATTTGAAGTCCCGCCCTAGTTAACAGGTATACCATGAGTTCGAGCTAGTTGGCAGTTGTAGGGAATGAGACGAATGGATAGAGCATACACGTTGCTATCTGTACATATATATATTATGTAGGTAGAGCACAGTGGGGAGGGAAGCATTGAGCTCACTGTGGCAGGCGGCGGGTGGGACTTTGCGCCGTGGCAATAGGCGACAGCGCCCTGAGCAGAGGTATTGGGACTCACATGGGAAGGGCGCAATCAGCTGACTTGGGGCGTTGATGCCAGGGGTGTAAGGGCAACCTCAAGATGGCCGCACAGCACGAGCCTAGCAGAGGGAGAATCCAAAGAATGAATAAGACTAACTACAATACATGAGAGGGCTGCTCACCTAGCAGAGGGAGAATCCAAAGAGAACAGGATAAGGATTCTCCATGCTAGGAAGCGAAGTATATACTGTAATAGTGTGAGAGGAATGCAGGATAACTGTACAGTACACCAGCCACAAGTCCGAGCGAATATCACAAGGTACAAGGAAACATGTGATAATAAAGTGGAGGGTAAATGCACAGGAGTTGTGCCAGCGACTTGGGGAAGTAAGGGTGAAGGGTAACGAAGTGGGGAAAGAGGATAGAGGTAACCCGGACGAGCCCCAAAGAGTATAGACGAGTCCGAGCATATTCGAAGTGTCTGAAATGAGTTCGAGCGAGTCCGAAGTGTCCGAAGCGCGGGAAGACTCCGGAGTCACCGGATGCGGCTCGGATGCAAAAGGAGTGGGTGGAAAGGAAGTGGAAAGGAAAGGGAGCGAAAAGGAACAAAGGGGAATGAAGGGAATGTAGGTAAGAGTCCATGGGATGAAGGAAAGGAGAGAAAATAGGAGTGTCCCCTTACAAGGGGTGGCTGATGGTGATGTGGCTATCACGCATTAGGAAAACCAGCTACCTCCCAATCTGGGAGATAGCTGTGATTATACTGGCAGTCGCTATATACTAGGCTTTCTAACTACTTAATCATGTCATACACATGTCAGGGTCTAGGCTATTTAGTTTACTAATGTGGGATAATGTTAGGGCGGCACTAATACACTATAAAGTGTATGCGGACCCAACAAGAATCAGAGTGAGAGATAGTAAGTTGAGAAGTGAGAGATGAGGAGAAAGCGCGAAGACGCTGACTTAGGCACTATATCAGTGGTAATCCCAAGAGAACGAGTTAACGTCTCGGGGTGTTTATTAGGATACTTATATACTACTACACATGCTACGTCCTCATGTCTATCTACATGCTGTATCCTACCGTCTTTCCATGGAAAGGTTAGCTCAGCTGCACGAGGTATGACACTTGTTGACTGCGCCCATGCAGTAGCAGCAAGGCGCTGACTGAGACTATTAGTAAGACGGCCCGGATGATGTAAGTAGCATGTTGTAATACATCACGTGCCCGATAAGATAAGAAAAGATAGTTGAAAAAAAGAAAAGAAACATTAGACCATAACAGATAATGAGGTGGGCATAGTCCCTCAGCGCTGCCGAAACTCCCAGCAGACAGCTCGAGGATGCGAATACACCACTAGCTCATAAGCAGAATATTGTAAGTAGGTAAGCATGCTTGCATAATACACTACGTGTCTGATAAGATAAGGAAAAGAATAGTAAAATAGAAAGAAAGGAATGTTGAACCATAACAATAGCCACAGACCTGCACCTGCACCAGCAAAACTGCAGCCACATCCACAAACCTGCACCTACTTGCATGAACACACACACTGCGCTCTGCAACCCACTTGCATTTAGACCAAACCAGCCCTCAAGCAATCTATACTTTCAGAATAAAGGAGGTGAATCAATGTCTGGAGTATTATAGGTATAATACTTTGTAGATAGATCAGCTAAAAAGTATGTAGATTAGTGCAATAGAAGTTGGAAACAGCAAGGTGCAAACAAAAGTATTCTACTGTGCAAAACGATTTATACTTGATTTATACTTTGGTAGAAAATATTGGGAGGATATCTTTCAAAGGTATTTGATTTCGGAGTTGCTTATCTTTTTGCTAAGTCAGAAATACCATTGGGTATGATACTAAATCATTGCATACTTTGAGTAATACTTTATATAATGGTAATGTTAAGGTATTTAGAATACTTTCAATATACTTTCTTCCAAAATATCAGACAAGTATGCTTCCCCGAGCGTTGTAACCCCCATCCGTGGGTGGTGTCCATAGTTTAGAAAGAACAGGCTCTGCCTGGAGCTCTCCTGTTTCCTTTTTGGGAGGTCGGTTCGAAATCCACTCATTTCAGTTTCCCAATATGGTAATTTTATTATATCCACCCATTTTGGCCACGAACCCGGCACTTTCCGATCCAACATTTACAGGGATTATCCAGGGTTCCTGGTTCGAGTTCAAGAGAGGCCTGTTACATGATGGGCACGATCGGTGACAGATAGCTTTTGGCTTGCCAGATAGAGAGGACCTTTAGACCCTGGCATAGTCCTTGGGCCCCACCGAAACTCTTAGCAGACAGCTCGAGGACGCGAATACACCACTAGCTCGCCGCCACCAGCTCGCGTCAATGACACCCACCATGTTGTCTCGAACGGTGATTTTGCGAGACTACTGCTGATAGCTCTCAGGCTTTGTTGACAGCCAACATAGCGGCCAAGTCGTGGCTCCCGATGCTTAAATATCCCCCATGTCTGCTGCAGGGTTCCCCAGCCCGCCCTCTTCGCAAGCTCCCCACTTGTGATACACTCGTGTGTTCTTCTGTTCATCTCCTGTGATGTATCCATGCTGATTGGGATTCGTTGGTGCGCGTGACAGGTAAGAGATGGCTAAATACCAGTCTGGCTTCGCCCTCGCCGTCCTCGCTGCCACCCTGGTAGCAGGTCGTGGTGCCAATGACTGGTCGAAACCCTGCTTCAACGGCGAATGTGCCTACGATATCCCGACCGAGAACCAGTCTGCTTCCATCAAGATGGTACATCTCTCTTATTTTTCTGATAAATACTCGGCATTGAGACTGGATTTTGTAGGTTGGCGCGCCGCTGGCTATTACGGATATCACGCCTGCTGCAGGGTGGGTCGTGCTTGACTGCGACGCGAATGCGGCATCCCAGGAGATCCGCCTTGTGTGTAACTCGGACGACGCTGAGGCTGCTGGCTGCAGGTGTGTTGTCTGAATAGGTGTCTCCACCTGTAGTCATGTAGCTAACCATCGTTGCAGCCATCTCTTCGAGGGCGATGGTCCCGTCCACAAATATGTGCGCTTGCCAGAGAGTGTGAGCCCCTGTTCCGTGTTTCGTCGTACAATCAAGTAATGAGTAATGCACAGTGCGGTTCCGAGCCGTTTGCACGTATCGCAGATTACCGCGTTCACGAAAACCAGTCGATCCCGGAGCACGCGGCCTCAAAGATCTCGCGCCGCGATGGTGTCGCTCCCCAGGTCTTCTCAGTTAGCATTGATGACGACGTATGTTCCATGCCTTCTGTGCTGAAGAGGGCAACTGACTGATATGCATCTCATTGTATAGTTTGCAAGGGTCGACGAGACGAAGTACGGCAAAGTCTTTGCGCTTGTCGTCGGTACCAACATGCCAGGCATCGACACCAACTTCGCTATCCCGCAAGGGATCGATAACAAGGACGTCGCTGACAAATGGGCGCAGCAAGCAATGAATGGTATGTATCCCACTATGATCTCATTTGGTCCTCTCGCGGAGCCATGATTCCCTGTCAGACGCCGAAATCAAAGTCAAAGGCCTGAAAGCCACCATCTCCACCGTCTACTACGTGCCCAAGGCTGACGGAGAGGTCGATGTCAAGACATCTAAAAGTGGAGAAGAGCTTGATGCTCCCAAGAAATCAGGAAAGCTTCAGTGGGGGTCGAGCACCGAAGCAATCACGCTGCCGGTGAAGCAGGAGAAGACACTGGCGAGCTGCGGGTCAGCGGCTCTCAAGGCTGAACTGAAGGGCTCGTTGGCCACCAAGGCGTATGGGTCGGCGGCGGCGTTCAGTGCTGCTGCGGTTATTGAGTTGAGCGTTTCGTCGATCAAGGCCATGGCGAGCAACATTTTAGGTGATTAATGTCTCGGTCTCTCAGCTCTGGCGTGTTGACTGGGTCTTCTTCCCCCAGACTTCTCCGCACACTTTGAACACGATTTGACGGTGACACTGTCGTTAGTGGTATGTCATTGGGTTGCTGCAAAGGAAGCGTCTGACCATTCATTTGGCTTATCTAGGGTGAGCTCAAGAAGGAGTTCACCCTCATGCCAGACACCGCTGTCCCCAATGCCGGTATTGATCTCAAGTGCGTGACTGCTTGCTCCTCGGAATTTTCACTGATGAAGTATAGGTATGTCGCGGCCGGTCTGATGTTCGGCGTCTCCGGAGAGATGGTCGCCAAAGCCCAGGTTGGCGTAGAAATCAAGACAGGATTCAAGTGGGGTGTTGACAAAGGTTCGTCCATGTGCTTTATAGGTTCCCGCTGCGTCTCATCTGTTGCTCCAGCCGTCATCGCGATCCCTGGTGCTCATGCCGCCACGCCATATGCGAAGGATGGATGTGCGTCTTTGTATCTTGTGTTCGGTCTCTCACAAATACTCACCCGCCCTTTACCCATACAAGACTTCAACTTTGGAATCAGCAAAGATGGCGAAGGTAGCAAAGCAACCGGCGAGATCGACATCACCATCCACCCCAAGTTCAGCGTGGGCATCAACGGCAAAGAGAAGCTCAAGAATGTCAAGGCCAGCGCGAACATCGGCCTGAAGGCCGGCTTGGGGCTTACTGTTGGTATCACCGGAACACCGAAGAGGGATGTCGCCCTGTCGTCGGACTGGTACTGCGCGAAACTCATTGCGCACATTGAGGGTGTCGCCGGCGTCGACTTGAAGCATCCCATCAAGTTTATCCCGGATTGGGACAAGGAGTTCTCCTTATTCAAGAAGGAGCTTGAGCTCTGGACAGTGAGTGCATATGTTGGTCAAGGATCTTCGGCAGCCCGACTGGGTGATATTTTTACAGCATGGTAGTTGCCCCACACCCAAGGCAAGAAGGAGCACCCTTCATGGTCTGCTGGAGTCGAGGGCATCAGACTTGACATTCCATGACGTGCTCGACTCATTGAAATGCCCGAAGAAGGATCAGAGCAAGTTGGAGAAGGGGGAATCAAAGAGCAAACTGAGCTCATCAGCGTGCGTGCTTCTGCTCCATGTCCGTCGCGGGTATGAACCAACTGACTTGTTGTATAGCATGAAGATGAAGGACGTTTAGAAGGCTTCTCTAATAGTGTTCTGTCATCTCGAGTACGCATACTGCTATGTGACGGTGCAATAAATTGCTTGGTGCATGCATTGAGTGACGTCCACTGTTGACACTGTCGCACCTGTACCTGACACACACAGACCATGACCGAAACGAGTGTTCCATGTAATAGGTGCGCAGGTCACTATGCTACGGAAGGGCGGACAGCGTGTAAAGAATGAAGGAACGGACGATCTAAGTAGCGAGCAAGTAGGTAAAGATTCTAGTATATCAAGTATAAACTTTAAAGCGTCGATAGCATCACGAGTCCCAATGTTTGAAGTGTATGTATGTGCCCAAGGATTAACGCGTTCGTGAGACGGTTGATTATATACGCGCCGCGCGTTCGTCTCTCTTCCCCTCATCGACTCACCGCGATGTTGGGTTCCCGCCTACTCGTCGTGGCGCACGATGCGGAGGCGCTGCGCAGGGGGTACGAACCTCTCGTCGGCGGCGTGCGGGCCCCCGCCGTGCAGGATGGACACGCGGTGCATCGCGAGTAGCTACGCACGCACAGCACATCACTAATGGAACAAAATCATAAAATCTCAAGGAGGACTTACGTTGTGCGCGGCATTCGAGTGGTCGTAGACGCCGCCAAAGAAGGCGGTGGTGGCGTCCTTGCCGACCATCTTGACGAGGAGGTGGCGGCCGCCGGGGTGGGCGTCGAGGAAGGGGGCGAGGTCGTGGATGAAGCCGGAGACGAGGATCAGCGGGCGCGTGCGCGCTTGTTCCTGAACTACGCAACAGTCAAACGTGATCATATATACAGAAATGAACGAGCGAGCGCACATGCATCCCATCCAACAACGGGCAGGGCCTCCGCGCGACTGGGCCACGCCAGGCCGTCCTGCTCCCTCCTCAAGCCCTTCACGCGCATACTCCACCTGCCCTTGCGGACCTCGTTCTCGCCGAAGCGCCTGAGGTGTGTCGCGAGGCCGACGCGCTCGCAGGCGGAGATGAACCACTTTGTGGGATCGTACTGGTACCAGCGGATGGCGTTGCGGTAGTCTGCGGGGAACTGGTGGTGGAAGTTGTGGTAGCCTTCGCCGATGGAGACGAGGGCGGTGAGGAGGTGGTCGCGGGGGGTGTGCTTGTCGTCAAAGGAGGCAGCGCCGAGCCAGTGTGCGAGGGAGTTGACGCAGAACGTCGACTTGGCAGGGCATCAGAACGTTAAGGGGGGCGGGAAAGACGGGTGCTCACATGGTGCACGAAGACGAGGCGCATCATGGCGGCGTAGACGTATCCACCTTTCGGATCGCCCCAGGCAAGCCATGGGACGAGGGTGGGCAGGGCAAAGCCCATGACGAGGGTGAGGGTGAGGTACCACCTGAGCTGCCACTTTACGACGACATCTTTGCTCAGGTCGTTGATATCCGCGAAGCCAGGCTTTGTGCGGGGCTTGAGGAGGAGCCAGCCAATGTGTGAGTGATAGAAGCCTGCGGTTGCGTCGTAGGGGTCAAGGGGAGTGTCAGTGTAGCGATGGTGTGCGCGGTGGTTGCGTGACCACCACTTGATGGAGCCCTCGCAGGCGCCGGCACCAGCCATGGCGAGAGCATACTGCAGCGGGACACAGGCGTTGTAGGATCTGTGGGACCACAGCCTGTGATAGCCGGCGGTGATGCCCAGGCCGGTGACGTAGTAGTAGAACACGGAGAACAGGGCAGTCTGCCAGCGCAGAGGCGTGTAGCATGCGCCGACAGCGGCGATGAGGGGGGTGGAGACGAGGAGGACGAGGGGAACCCATGTTATCTCTGTGCGCCAGTTGCGCCATTGGAAGGGGGGCAGAGGTGGATGCTGTTTGAGGGAGTGGGTGACGTAGTTGTCGGGGATGGGCAGCTCGTCGTCGAGTTGCTGCTTCGTGTGGTGCTCGAGAATAGTCGACATCGATCGTGCGTGCCAGACGACGACAAAAAACGGTGAATGAAAAGGAAAGAGAGCGACGACGCAGAAGGAAAGCCTAAAAAGAACAGCACGAAAATGCCGAAGAAGGTAATTGTGGTCAGATATGTACGTCACCCATGACAAGCCTCTCCTTCAGCGCGTCGTCCGTCGGCCCAGGCTTATCCCAAGCCATTGCATACTCGAGTCTGATTATCGTCACGGTGACGCACACGCTGCAAGCTCGACACTCGACTCAGCGCACATTCCAACACGCAGACGTGCATAGGCGCATATAGCTATAGCCTGGGGTCAATATTAATGAGGCAACAAGTCACAACAGAGCACATTCAAGTCGGCCTCGTTTCTCGCTTCCCCTGCGAACCAGAGCTCGTGTCGGAACCAGACGTCTGGGTACTTTGGTGGTCCCCACTTGAAGAGATGTACAGTCACCAGCGCCAAGAGACGTGCTGCCACATGCCCAAGCCACAGTCCCAGTGAAAGGCACATGAATCACCCACTCCGTATCCAGGAGACTTGATTTCCGCATATTCCCAATCCCGTCGCCGCAGACAAGTTCAACGACAGAGTGTGGCCTACGACCAGTGCCCAACTTCCGGTAGAGAATGGTCTATCGCGCCTTGCTTCTTGCTCACCTCCAACGTGCACGTATTCAATATTATATTCAATATTTATACGCCTCGCCGTCGTCGTCGTCAAGAGGGATCCCGTTACAGTCGCGTTCCTGTAGAGTGGTAAGCGAGTGAGTAGTACTACTAAAAGCAGTAAAAGCGTAGTTCTATGACCGAGGCGCCCCGCTGTCAGCGTTCGCATGACCTCACCTTCCTTCCCAATGGCCATAGCCAACTCGCAGGTGGATATGTACTAATCACAGAAGCCCGCTATTGCCATCCCCATGTTATATTCTTGTAGTAAATGATTATTTGCTTCGCGCTCTTGTACTACTCGCAGTATTATTGCAGCCAATTCCCTTGCTGTATACTTACAGATACTTGAGGGTTTGAACGTCCAAGTGTCCATGCCGCCGTGCTCACTCGTACAAACGTACGACGCTGCCATCCACAAACTTGACCGGCCCTTTGGGCATTTCCCCAATCGCAGCCTTGGCCTCATCATCCAGCATCGGCTCGTCCGTAAACGTCCACGGTAGCTCGCCCCCATACTCCTTCGGCAGGTCCGCCGGGTGCACCAGCTCACACAGCGTCGGCCCCGGGTCCCGCCCCAGGACATGTATCTTATTCCTCGTGTTCTCGTCGAACCAGCCCTACACATCAGACACCGAGCTAGCAAACGCATTACACCACCCCGCACGAAACACGCAAGCGCACCTTGATCCAGCCCCAGATCGTCGGGAAGAACCCGGGCGAGTTGACGACGGCGATGGCGTGCAGCGTCTCGGGGTAGTTCGCCGTCGCGAGGCGCGAGGCCTCCTGCAGGTGGCTGCGGAGGTACCACATCGACGTCAGCGCCACGCCCTTCAGATCAATGATCGTCATCACGGACGACACCGGCGTCGGCGCCGTCGCGTGCGGCAGGTGCGAGCACAGCGGGAGCGCAAAGTTGCACATGAACTCGTAGAGGGCGACGCTGCAACGGCGGACGCGTCACGGTGAATGCACGGCGGAAGAGCTGCGCGCCACGCACTGACATTCGCTGGTATCTCCGCGCGGGGGGGACCGCATCCAGTTCCTTCTGCAACGGCACCACCGCCGCGAGCTTGTACACATACAGCGGCAATCCATGCTGCACTCGCGGTAGATTCAAGCATGACGAGCGTGATCTGGAGTAACGACGCATACCTTGTCTCTCCGCCCCGTCCATCGCGGATAAAAGCGCTTGGCCGACTCGAACTCCTGCGGGTCAAACGTCTTGTACAAACCCTCCACGCCGTGTTCTTTGCGCCACTGCTCCGTGTCCGCGAACTGCCTTTGCGCCGGGCCCGGGTGAAAGCGCCGCGCTCTCAAGAACCGCCTGCACGTCCACGCCCATGAGCGTCCGCACTCGAGGCCAAAGCCCGCCCGGGAGGCAAGCTTATTCGACTATTCACGCACAGTAAAGTAGGATCATCATGCGATGCCGTTGGCGACTCTGGCTCGGCGGCATGGGTATACAGCCCCGCAAGCGCAAGATTGTCCTTGAATTCAATAAAGGCCTCGATTTGCTCGGCGGTGAGGTGGTGGAGATGTCCTGCAAGCGGATCGAAGGTGACATTCGCACTCATGGTGGTATACAGGTAAAGTGATGACTGATCTGTCGGCGGTCATTCTGCATAGATAGACAGGGGCTTCGGATAAATTACATTGCAATCATAAATTCATCCCATCTCTTTATAGATTGGGGATGTCGCTGCGGCTGGCCATAGGTACATGACAGCGACTGGTATATAACACACCGATAATCGCGATAACATCGTATTTGTGTGCATACTACATCTATAGGATGTCAATGTTTGCCGGGGTGCAGCCAACGGCAATATTTCCCTCTGTTGCGTGAATCAGTCTAGCCCCGGTACACGAACACTCTGAGACTCACTGAAGTGGACGTGCTCGCAGCAGACAGATTGCGCGGTGCTGCACGAACCCCAGACAGTCAGCTCATTCCTGCCAGCGCTCACCCATAAGACACATACCAGTCGTTGCTGGACAGCAGGATCGGGTTGCACTTGATGCCGACGTTGCCCGTCAGCCCGCCCACGAGCCCCTTCACCAGCCCAAAGTGCTCCAGCCCGAGCAGGAGGTTGTTGACATGCGGCTGGGTGTGGTGCTCGACGCTGTCGCAGCACTGCACGGGCCCGGTGGAGCACTTGCTCGCCGTCTGCGCGGCGGGGATGGCCGAGCTGAGGGCTGCGAGCGCCGCGAGGACGAGCATTGTGGCGGGTGCAGCGAACATGGCGGCAGAAGGATCCAAGTGTACAACTTTGGAAAGAAGGCGAGATAGAGTCGGAGGGCCTAGTGTCCACAGCCTTATCTCGTCCACCTTTTGAATCTTCTCGACATCCTAGTTCCATTCGGCGTTGCTGTGGAAATTGACATGTTAGCCAGCGCACTTCGGACTAGAGATCAGTAGCACGGACGCTAATACGGACGTACCCCACTGCTTAGACTTTATCCGTCGGAACGCTGCGACTGGAATGGGAAGAGCTGGCCTTACTACATTTGTATGTAAATGTCCTGCTGTACCTGCAAGGACACACGAAGTCATGAACTCGAAGCTGAATAGGAGCCAGGCACACGTGATGGATCGTCTAGAGGTACGACCAAAGTCCACCACGAACCCAATTTTCATATGTCGCCTGCTTCAAACACTTTCTCTGCCACGAACCTCCCCTGTAAATGGCCAAAATACGAATCCTGAGCAACAAGAAAGCCGCCAAGCTTCGGAATTTCGATTCGCCCAAGAAACGCCGTGTCAAAATGCCTTGGGTCGATGTAGAGGATTCCCCGCGATCGAAACGAAAACAAGGCAAGCGTCCCTCGTTGAATGGCCTTCATAAGACACCGAATCGATTCTCTGCTCCCAACGGACCAAGTTCCCCGTCGAAATCCAATGGCTCTGTCGATGGACCGACTAAGCCAGGAAAATCAAGTTCTCTGCAAGAGCAGCGCCGCGCATTACCTATTGCACTAGGTATACAAATTCCCGTGCCGTGGTCAAATTGCGCCAGGTTGACCTTACTGCCCAGGCAGAGAAAAATTGATCGCCAAAATTCGCCAGAACGATGTTATCGTGCTACTTGGGGAAACAGGTTCTGGTAAAACCACCCGTGCGTCCATGCTTTCACATTTGCTCCTCGCAACTAAATTTGATGCTCCAAAAACCCGCAGAGGTGCCCCAATATATCCTCGAATCCGGGATCGCGGGGACCCGGATGGTCGCCGTAACGCAGCCGCGGAGGGTCGCTGCCACCTCCCTCGCCGCGCGCGTCGCCGCCGAGCAAAACGTGAAAGTCGGTGCCGCCGTCGGTTACTCCGTGCGTTTCGACGAGCGCAGCGGCCCAGACACGCGCATCAAGTACCTCACCGACGGCATGATCGTCCGCGAGCTCCTCTCCGACCCCCTCCTCTCGCGCTACAGCGTCATCATCGTCGACGAGGCGCATGAGCGCACCCTTCGCACGGATCTCCTCCTTGCGTCACTCAAGGGCATCCAGAAATACCGCAGCCAGCCGTCGGACGCGAAGGGGAAAGGCCGTGCTTCGCTGCTGAACCCCCTCAAGATTGTCGTCATGAGCGCAACGCTCGACGCGGAAAAGTTCAGCAAGTTCTTCGACAAGTACGTCCCGCAGGCTACGCAGTGACTCGTATGCTCACTGCAACTTCACGACATTAGTGCTCCCATTGAGTATATACAAGGAAGGCAGCATCCTGTACAAATATTCCATTCGGCGGAGAGTCAGAGCGATTACCTGGCCGCGGCGCTGCGAGTCTTCTTCCAGGTTCATACCGATCAAGGGCCTGGGGATGTTCTCATTTTCTTACCAGGTATACCTATCTACCCTTCACGTTTCTTTTATCATTCTCTGATACTCTCCCGCCAGGCCAAGACGACATCGAGAGTCTCGAAAAGTCCATTCGATTATACGCTAATAAATTACCCCACAAATCTATGGAGGTATGCCGATATACCCAGAAGATCTCCCCGTCCGTCTATTTTTTCCCTAACAAATAATTCCTTGCCTACTAGGTTGTAATATGTCCAATGTACGCTGCCCAAGCGGCAGGGCAGAACTCAAAAGTATTTAACGCGGCTCCCCCAAATACCCGAAAATGTATCCTAGCCACCAACATCGCGGAAACGTCCATCACCATCCCGGGCGTCAAATACGTCATTGATACAGGCAAGTGCAAAGAGAAGCAATATCTCGCACGAGAGACCGGTGGAGGTGCGCGTCCCGCGACCTTTGTGAGATATCATGATGCTGAAATCAAGGCGCTCCAGGATTTGATACCCTTCTGACGAAAGACATCACCAAGTCTTCAGCCAATCAGAGAGCAGGACGTGCTGGTCGAGAGGTAAGTAACTCGAGCTTTCTTCGACTCGCCTCCATGAATAACTGCGCGTCCTCGTAGGGAAGCGGGGTATGCTTCCGGCTGTATACAGAAGCGGCCTACAACAACATGGCTGTTTCTGCAGATCCCGAGATCAGACGATGCAGCCTTACATCGAGTGTTCTACAGCTGAAATGCCTGGGTCAGGATTTCCAAGAACTCGACTTCATGGACAAGCCGGACTATGATTCGGGTACATCTTTATATCATGAATTGTCACAGCACCTGCGCTGACCACGCTTCCCAGTTGTATCGGCGTACAAGTCACTTTGGCTATTTGGCGCACTCAATAACTCGAAGGAACTGACGCCGACGGGGCGCCAGATGGCTGCCTTCCCTCTCGACCCCTGCTATGCACGGATCGTCCTCGCGTCCAAGGAATACAACTGCGCGCCCGAGATCGTCGAGATCGTCTCCGTCCTCTCTGCCTCATCAAAGCTGTTCGTCGACGTCAGCGATCAGCGCGATTCAGCCGCGGAGTTGCGACGCAAGTTCCGCCATCCGACGGGGGACCACCTAACGATCCTCGGCGTCGTCAAAGCGTACCAGGAGATTGCGCTAGCAGAAAACAAGGCTGGGCGACGAGAGTGGTGTCGGAAGCACTTTTTGAACGAAAGGGCCCTGTTGGAGGCGCGCGATATTCGTGACCAGCTGAAACAGACTTGCGCGCGGTTTGGGATTTCGTTCGATGAGGGCGTGCGCGCGGACAACAACAATGACGACGCGGTGCTCAAAGCTCTGGCGCACGGTTTAGTGCAGAATTCCGCGCTGCTGCAGCCCGATGGAGTGACGTATAAGCAGACGATGGGACATACGGTAAGACCGCCGACATCACGATCCACAGTGCGATGTGATTCATTGATGTATTGCGATCTACAGACAGTGAAGATCCACCCAAGCTCTGCGCTCTCTGATCGAAAGCACCCGGCGATTATATTCAACGAACTTGTTGGTCTTTTCCTTCGTCGTCCCTACTCTACGCTCTCTGACCGTGTTGCAATGCTAGGTGTACACCAACCAAGTCTACGCTCGTGGGGTCTCGTCGATACCCAAAAGTTTCTTCCTGTCGATACCCACGCTTAATCAACGCCACTCATGATTTCCTGTGTCTCTGTGCCTTGTGAGTGAGCGAACATGGGATGTGTGGTCCTGCGATAAAATTATTGGTCGTGCTAAGCAAGAGCTGCCAAGAGCAAGGAGTTCTATACGCCCCCTACGTGGGGTGTATTCTTTGCTTGTCAAGTGGAATTGGGGAAGGGCGCGAACGTTAAACGTTAAGCGACCGCTCCCAGAAAGCTCGGTTTGGCTTTGTGGTTTTGCAGTATCAGTATTATCGTAGTCCGACTCCCTTCCATGTCCGTCTCCAAGAGTAAGGACCAGATTTGTCCTTCCACCCATCTGCCACTTGTTTGCTTATTGCCGCTCGCCCTTGCGTTATGACTCTCAACTGTCCCCGATATTGGCCTACTACACCCATGTTCTCTCAGCCTCGACGTGGGTGCCGAATAGTAATATCAGTCACCGTCGCCCACTTCCGACCGCAATGCCCACATACCATCGCAGAGCACATCGGCTGCCCAGTCTTGGTTTCTCCCCGCGTGCTATTCTCCAGACTCCTACATAGGTCCTAGTCCTAGTCGAGCCATTGACGGCTTCTCGCTGTCCGGAGATTGTCCTGTGCCGAAGAACATGTAGAGATACATGTCAGATTTCGCCTCACACATTCAAAGCAATTCGGTTAGAAAGAGTTGTTCGGGACCTCGAGGGACGTGATGTACCTCAGACATATCATTTGCTCCGGCGTTTTGCGCGCGTGTATATCCCAGGCAGTCTAGGACGGTGCAGTCTCTACATATATAAAGGCTCTGCGCAAGAAGGAACCAGGCAATCTCAACTGACCATCAAATTGTATGTGAGTGAGATTGCTTCGCTCTCTGCTTCCCCAGTGCTAATCGCTCTATAGAAACCCAAACCATATCATGTCTTACAACATCCATCAGCAAGTGTTCGCCCTCTCCATCGCGTCCAACTTGCTCTCGACGTGCAAGGGCACGCAGGAAGCTTTGCAGAACCAGATTGATTCGGCTTTGCAGCCCGCCTTGACGAACGCCAACATTGGCGATTGGACCGTCGTCTGGGGGCCCACTGTATGGAAGGCCGAGCCTGATAACGCAGAGACAGCACCCGACCGCGTCTGGTACATTGCACACAACCCCTCAGCCAATTTCGGAGTCGATGGGTCGTCATTCGATACCTATGTTCTCGCTGTCGCTGGTACCGCACGTGGGTCGGCGGAGAACTTCGCCATCGATGCAGATGTTGACAAAGTCGTCGACTTCAACGCTTGGGTACAAGCCGGGATCACCACCCCTCCAGAGCAAGCCACTACAATCGATCACACAAAGCCGTACGTCGCCTCTGGAACGGCAATCGGCATTTCCACCCTCTTGACTGTGGCCAACGCTGCTAGTCAGCAGACTATGGCTGAATTCTTGGGCACCATTCCGCCTAGCTCACGCCTTGTGTTCACTGGACACAGTCTAGGGGGCGCTTTGTCACCAACAGTCGCGTTAGCTTTGCTGAAGGCGGGGCTACTCCAGAATGCGCCGGAGAATGTGTTCGTGTACCCAACCGCGGGACCATCTCCCGGAAATGAACCGTTTGCGGCTTTGTTTGCAGGGGCTTTCCCTCTGATCACTGATGGTCCCGCTCCCTATCAGATGTGGAATGGGAATCTCGCAAATACATACGACATCGTTCCCCTTGCATGGGATGTCGATTCCTTGGGTACAATCCCAGGGCTCTACGGCAAATTACCACTCGTTCTTGGTGCAATCCTCGGGGGCATTGTCAGCGGTGCCATCGACAAGGCCACAGCATCAGGCTTAGCGTATGTTCCTCTTCAAGGACAGATATTCTCTACAGGTGGCCCTGCTACACCTCCGAAGACTCTGGACGAATTCCTTCTATTGGCTTTACAAGAACACGAAGGAGCTTATGCAGCACTCATTGGGACGGCTGAAATTCCACCTCTGTGCGCGCCAGGTTCATCAACGGAGCAGGCCAGAGGGCTTCCGATTCTGGGTGGACTCTATCAAGCCAACGTGGAGGTGACGGAAATGGTGAGGTTGGACAATGAGAGGAAATAGACTCCTTTACGGTGTAAGTCCGCACCGCACGATTGCTTGCGACAGACATGCCCTTGTATCGCTCAGTATGTTGTATCTCAAATTCATGATATTTGGCGGCCTTCGTCTTCGCAGTCTCCACACGTGTCTGTTCACCAACAATATCTGTCTGTTGTTAGTGTACGCCCTCTGCTCCCCTCGTGCTCGTGCGATATGGTTGCTTTGAGGTACGTTGGTTCGCTCTCGCTTCACGCTGCCTTGCCTTGCCTTGCTTTTCGTCCCCCTCCCCCCTTCCCCTTGCCTCCCTCTTGCGTCTCCCTCTCCTTCATGAGTCCTCCCTCTTCCTCTCCGTCTACTAGCCCCAACTCCCAGCCCACTTGCCACTGCCATTTGTGATGTCTGCGTCTCGCAAGCGTCTGAGTGCGAGCATTTGCATTTGCGTTGAGCGGTCGAGCCAGGCGCGTCGTCCTCGCTCGCGCGTCTCGCTTCGTTCGCCACCTGTGTGCTTTGGTGATATATAATAATGTACATCATGGCTAGTGACTACTACCTGTTGTATAGTGACTGGACGATGATGTATCACGACCTCTCTTTATCTTGTGACTCAATTCTACTCCCATGGTCGCGTCACCTGCTACCTGTCGTTGCACATGCTGACGCCGCCTTCTCCCCTTTGTTGCCAGCAATGCCGCCGCCGCCTTACTACATAGGTACAGTCCGTGCCTTGGCCTCACATAGAAAAGATCAGGTACTCATCTGGTCTACATCCCCAGTTCCCGGCGTCGCGTGCTCCGAACCACCCCAACTCGCCCAGAAGTGCTCAAGCGCTCGTCACTCACCCAACGTACGCTATGATTCGCGGATGAAGAGTTCCTCCAGCATGTCATGGACACATGACTCTCCGTCCGAGCACAAGCCCCGGTATGTGGGGTGTGCCTACATTCTACCGATGGATCTATAACATCCTCTCGTTTTAGCGGGAACCTGATTTGAGTACTCATATTCTTGCAAGGGAAACGTATGATTTCACAACGAGACGACCAACGCAATGATACTTAAAAAGGTTGCCCATATGTAGGACCAAAACGAATGTGCCAGTTACGTCTACTGCGCAAGAACCCTGGGATAGCTCCCTCGATAAAGTCAGGTATCAGACGTGTCGTAATCTGCACGAGCCCCCAATTAATCACGGTTAGTGACTCGGATCATGGAATAACCATTGCTTAGTACTTACTCGAGGGCATATACAAATCCTGGACTCAAATACTGAAGACAATAGCCCCCGGTCTTCCCTTGCGTCGCGACGCACTCGTCATACGAGCTCGTAATGATCCCAGCCTACAACCCCGGCGAGTACCCTCGTCAGATTCATACCCTGGATTCATATAACGTCCTATTATGAACGCACCATGAGATAGTCACAGTATGATTCATCCGCACCGCCTGTTGGGTTGAGATTGATGAAGCCGACTAAGCAGGTGCCGTACCAGTACGCTCGTTCATAGCCGGGCGACACGATGAAGTTGGGGCCTATACATAATATTCAAATAACCGTTCAGCTTTAAACGATTGAATGTAGAATGCACTCGGAGGCTTACACGAAGCTTGGTTGGGTAAATTGCACGGAAATGACGCACCGACTAACTCGCTGGCCGCGAGTGCCTCGAGCGCACTTTTCAACGCCGCGCAGTCGCCGGACGTCGGGGGGTCAGGGGAGGTGCTGAGCCCGTCAACGCACGTCCTCCTGCCTATATGCCGACCATCAATCAATGAAGCGGCCCATTCCTCGATTAAAGCTAAGAACCCACATCCGTAGGAGCAGCAATTATTGACCGTTCTCTTCGTCAGCGTCGTCTCCGGGTGCGGTGATCGCACGCGGAGGGTGGCGTTGATGAGCCTGTCTATGTGGCTTTCTGGGACGGAGATCGTCCCGACATTGACGTCGATGCCGTTGACATGGAGGGCAGCTTTGTCGGTTGCGACTCTTTCGATGCTACCTAGAACGATGGTCAATGGATACAGATACGCCAGTCTGTGACTTGTCCGTGGCCAGCACATGAGTGACTTACTGGTCAGGACAGCACCAAGAGTGTGAGAGGCTAGCCCCAAAGCGAGGGAAACAATGGTGACAAGAGTCTGCAAGTTCAACATGGTGATCGGGGAGATTTGAGAATCGAGTATCGATTCAACACTTGGGTCGAATAGTGTTGCTTCCAAAAGACACTTTCATTGAGCTTTTATACACCTGTATATGCACATTATCCACTACGGAAATTTTGGAAACGCCTACCGGCATACTGTCCTCAAAACATTCCATCAACGTTCCTTATTCCGATGAGAAAAGTCAGTAGAATTTTAAGAAAGATGCTTCACAGCCCGTACCTGGGCCTTCGTCGCCTTGCGATCTAGGGTTGAATACAATTCAGCGCATACCATACATCATGGCCATTGACATGTGTGCACGGGAATCTAGCGAAGGTGGTAATCTTCTGCGGTGCAGCGCCGACGAGAACGTCGGCGCCTGGGGTATTGTCAAAGGCCGCGGTTCCGCTGGATTTCCGAGAGATAGGGAATCCGCACGCAGCAAACAAGGTTCGTAACGAGCTTCTTTCCGTTGGTGACATGACCGGATTCCGCACACAGAATGACATGATCATGGGTCAAGCAAAACAAGCGTTCAACTCCATCCTGGGAAACAGGACGCAGACTCAGATTCACTCCATATGGCTATCGCGACGAGGATATAATGTTATTACTGATGCAGTCTGTTGGTAATGATATGTAAGACGTGTACTTAACGCATTATCGTCTCTCGTTGACGGCCGACAAATCATTCCTCTATTTGTCCTTCATCTTCATGCTATAATGGGCTAGTCAGCCATGTCCGGATTCTCCGACAGAAAATACGTACGCTGAAGAGCTGAGGCTTTTCTTCGAATCTCCCTTAGTCATCTTGCTGATATCCTTCTTCGGGCATTTCAAGGCGTTGACAACATCCTTCACCGTCAGGTCCGTCGCTCTCGACTCCAGCAACCCGCGCAAGTTGCTCCTCTTCTCCTTCGGTTGGGGGCAGTTGCCATGCTATCACAAGGCCCAATAAGCTGGCCCCAGTTATCCCTAGAACACGATGTACTTACCGACCAGATCTCGAGCTCCTTCTTGAACAATGAGTACTCCTTCTCCCAATCCGGAATGAATTTGACGGGGTGTTTCGCGTCAACACCAGCGACACCCTCGATGTACGCCGCAATCTTCGCGCAATACCATGCATCCGAGGCGTCCATTGCATCCAAGTCCCGCTTGGGCGGCGTCCCCGTGATCCCAACAGTAAGGCCTAGTCCCGCCTTCAAGCCAATGCTACCGGTGAACTTGATTTTCGAGAGCTTGTCCTTCCCTGAGATACCCAAGCTGAATTTGGGGGTAATTGACACGCCGATTTCCCCAGTTGCCTTGTTATCGTCTTCGTCTTTGCTGAGGGCGAAGTCAAAGTCTAAAAAGCAAAAGGCAAGAAAGAATATGCGTGAGCGCCTCGGACGAATATCAATACACGATGACCTACACCCATCTTTGGCATATGGCGTGGCGGCATGAGTGCCAGGAATGGCGATGACAGCTGGAAACAGATAAACATCCATACAAAAGAATAATTGTGAAGTTAATAGAACAAACCTTTGTCAATCCCCCATTTGAACCCTGTCTTGACTTCCACACCAACTTTGGCTTTGGCAATCGTGAACTCTCCTCCGACGCCGAACAACAGGCCAACCGCCACTAGCCTACGACGCAAAGATTAGCAGTCTTCGATCAGCACAAATGTTTGAGCAGTGATAGACTTTACGCACTTGAGGTCGATACCAGCATGAGGGATGGCTGTATCCTCCAAGAGGGTGAACTCTTTCTTGACCTCGCCCTAAATACGGTATGTCAACCACTCAGATTCTAAGTAAAGTTACTCATACCCACCTCCAGAGATAGTGTCAAAGTCAAATCATGCTCAAAGTGCGCCGAGAAATCTGAGGGTCGCATCAGCGTGCTATTCTGTGACGCAAATCAACTCTACACTCACCAAGAATGTTGCTTGCCATGGCCTTGATTGACGATGCACTCAGTTCAATAACCGCGGCTGCGCTGAACGCCTTCGCCGAGCCATACGCCTTGTTTGCTAATGAGCCAGAGAGTTCAGCCTTGAGGCCGGCTTTTCCACATTCCGCGAGCTTTTTCTCTTCCGTCCATGAAAGCGTAAGTGGCTTCGTTTCTGATCCCCAGTTGAACTTGCCCGACGACTTCAGAGGCTCGACCTCTTCTCCACTCTTCGTTTTCTTGACTTCGACCTCGCCATCAGGTCTGGTTACGTAGTAGGTCGAAAGTGTGGCCTTCAGGTTCTTGACGCCAACGTCTGCAGCAATGGTCAGATGAGCCCCAACAAGTGCGTCATTTCAGAATACATACCCTGAATTGTTTGCGCTGCCCATTGATCCGCGACATCTTGGTTGTCTATGTCCTGCGGGACAGCAAAGTTGGTATCGACATTGGGTTCATTGACACCAGCGACAAGGGCGAAGACTTTTCCATACTTGGATTCGTCGACGAGAGCGAACTAAAAGAATATGAGTCGATCACTCGTCCTTGCCATCATCGCAAGTAACAGATTGGCGTACATCATCATCAATGCTGACGGAGAAGACCTGAGGAGCTACGCCGTCACGGCGCAATATTTTCGAGGCCGCATGCTCGGGGATCGACTGGTTTTCGTGAACTCGGTAGTCCGCAATACGGGCGAACGGCTCAGACCCGCACTGTGCGTGTTCGTTAATACGTTGAACATCGCTGATCGAAGACGATTTCGACTTACACTCTCGGGTAGACGGACGTATTTATGTACGGGACCGTCACCTTCGAAGAGGTGGCTAACAATGACCGCGAGCCTTAGTGAATATCGATTGGGATGCAATTTATACGGACCTGCAGCCAGCAGACTCAGCATCGTCCGAGTTACACACAAGTCGAATCTCCTGCGACTTGGCATTTGCGTCACAGTCGAGGACGACCCATCCTGCAGCGGGTGTGATATCCGTAATGGCATGCGGTGCACCAACCTACGATGGAGAGGATGACTTCAGTCGACAAACTTAGGCTGTTATAATGAAGCGTTCCGCACCATCTTGATGGAGGCTGATTGCCCTTCGATCGGGATGTCGTATGCACATTCACCGTCGAAACATGGTTTTGACCAGTCATTCGCGCCACGACCTGCGACGAGGGTGGCAGCGAGGATTGCGAGGGCAAAGCCCGACTGGTATTTAGCCATCTCTTATCTGTGGCCATCATCGGTAAATAAGTTCAAGGCAGTGGTCAAGCAAGGAAGAAAACATACGAGTTGATCACAAAGGGGGTACGATTGCAAGCAAAAGAGGACTGGCTAGAGTAGCATTGCGGACGGTGGCACCTATTTAAAGGCCGTCGGCGGAAGAAAAGCACAAATTAGTAGATGTGCTAGCTGCCAACAGAGTACGAGAAGCGTCGTGAAGCGGTAGTCAGTTTGGCGCTTGCAGTACTAGATGAGAATAATAGACGTTACTGGCAGTACCAGGGGACTAGAAGAAGCGAATAGTCGCTGGAGCTAGCAAGGACAGGCTCCTTGGAGCTATGTGAATTGCGCGGAAGCTTTCCAAAATAATATTTCAAGGAGTTGACAATATTCTGACCGTCATCTGTACATTCCCATCCCTGGCGAGTTGACTTGTCTCAATTCTTCAACCACATTGTGTGCCACTGAATCTTGAGCGCAGCCTGCACGAGTCAACGCCTTGAGCTTGAGTACTTGAGACTTTCTTATACATCTTGGCTCCAGGAAATGACCTGGTATTGCACGAATGGCTGGAGACCGTGCACCGTGGATGGAGAGCTCGAGCCGGTACACATTCTACAGGGCACAGGGACGCAAACTGTTGGCACCAATCTAGGCTTCGTGATATTTCGATGCCGCTGTTGCTTGGTTGTTTAGAGTAGTGACTCGGACTAGGAATTGGCACGCCAACCAGGAATAGAAATCATCGGACGCTTACATAAGCAATGATACGCTGGCACCGCAATCATTGCAGAGCGCTCATCCTTGCCATTCCAGCACCTACGCTATCACCCTTCTGTACAAGTGGGTTTCACATTACGGCTCTCTGATCCTTTCCCTTCCAGAGCTTGCACTGACGACCCACGTATGGCGAGTTATGCCGACGCCGCAAATGTCACTTGTCTTTACAAGACATCGATGGGATTCGACATGTATATAGGGCACGACAGGCAGGCGGTCCTTCCTCTGTTCAGACTCTCTGCTGCCACCTTTGCGCGCTGCTGCCTTACGCATTCGGGACTTTCCTTCAATACAGAAAGAAGATGGGGCGAGCTTCTTCAAACAACACCGACATGTGCAGGACTTGATAGCCGAAGAGATAGGTTCAAGTTGTTCTGAAGCACTTTTGAAACCGTCTGAAGCCGAGCAACCAGCTTTTGCCAAGATAGAAACCCTGCAGTGGCATTACTGTAACATTCATCTGCGTCCCGTCAGTGGAGCAGTTTCTTGACGAGCGTAGGAATCTCGAGCCGCCTATTGGCCTGATTGGAAGTCTGGGATTGCAAAGTAACAAAAGATATCGTCCGTCGGCTGGAGAAATATATCATAGTACTGTGGTGGGGGGGGAGGGGTGTTTGGCCAGATCATTTCGATAGGAAGGACGAGAAAGTCAAGGACGAGGACGAACCACGATTACTTGGCGACGTTATTCGATGACTAGCAGTCATGGAAATCTTATTGCTATATTCAGGACAATGGTCCGACAAATATATAATCAGAAGTACCGTTTCTTGTAGAAGAAGTAGAGCAACGCCCGCGTTGTACGTGAATTCGCTTGGCCTTTTGATTGTCACGGCTCTCGTGGTGTCCCTTCGATTGATCTAGGCGCAAAGGAAGATGTGTTCAGGTTATGGATTCACGGATATGCGGTGCCATCACAATACCTCAATAGAACGTACAACGAATCCAGGACTCAGGATTGTGTTCAAACGTTCGAATCGAAGTGCTGCGGGCGTTCGCAGACAAGGGTCGTGAACCCATGTGAGTCTTTGTATCGACTCTGTTCTCCATATGCCATTCGTCTTACCAAGATTATTGCGCACACCGGGCAAGCTGACCCGCCTGATGCCTTGTTTGACGGGTACTATGTACTGCGCGACTCTGCGCAGTCTGATGGACAACCGGTTAGATGGGTGCATTCTTAGTCAGTGCTGATTGTGACCAGCGCCTCAGGTATTCAATGATCCTGTATAAAACCTGGCGCGAAGGTGACTTGCAGCCGTCAACGACATGTCGGTTCCAACCAACCTCCGTCTTGCTGTCTGCCTGTTCGACGACGTAACGTCCCTGGACTATCAAGGGCCCATTGCTCTCTTTGGTTTCCTTGAGCCAGAGGTCGTCAAAGTTTTGCCTGTATTCAAGAATTCAACCCCACCTAAATACACAATCGAGATCACATACCTGGCACATACACTGGATCCCGTGAAGTCATCACCAGGCCCTCTTGTCGTACCGTCCAGGACATACGACGAGATCAAGGACGACGAGCAGTTTGATCTTATCTTGATTCCTGGCGGTGAGTCGCTCCTTAATATGATGTCTTCCATTGCCAGCACTGACATTTCTCCTAGGTCCTTCCGCCCGTCCGGACGGCGTCCCCAAGGCTCTGCTCAACTTCATTATACGCCAAGCACCAGGTGCTAAACATATTCTAACCGTCTGTACCGGCTCGTGGGTTCTGGCGGGAACGGGCCTCCTCCGCGGTAAGAAAGCAACCACCAATAAATCTTATTTCAACTTCGTTGTCGTAAGCCTTCTCGAGCTCTCATCGTATTATCTGGACTGAGTCCGTGAATCAGAAAAGCACCGAAACGGAAGGCATTGAGTGGATACCTAAGGCACGATTTGTTATCAATGAAGACGACAACCGAAAGATCTGGACAAGCTCCGGAGTAACCGCAGGTACGTGGTGGATTACATCTCCTTACTAGAAGCGTTGTCTGACTTTTCGGAAGGAATGGACATGGCCAATGCATTCCTCGAATACTTGCTAGGAAAAGAGGTGACCAAAGTTATTCGAGGAGTCATCGAGCTGAGTGCGAAGGAAGAAGATGAAGACGAATTTGCAGCGTATTACAATCTTGTCTGAGACAAGTCGCAGGGCACAATGTAGACATCGTAGTCTAGCCTGCTTTTCTACCCAAATGACAGTGAAGTTTGCCGTAGATCGAGCATGAGGACGATGGGACGCACCAACCATCCACGCGTTCACGAAGGACTTTGATCTCCTGCCACGCACGAGCCTGCTTTGCAACGGAAACTAACGCTGTGTTACTGCGGCTACAAGTAGTACATCGGACAGTAGTTGTAGGGGTAAGGTATCCGCGGATGGTCGTTAGTGGTCACGATGCGCACTACACACTTCCGTCACGGATCACTCCTTTCGATCTGTACTTGACAATCCAAGGGTGCCGTAGGACTTCCGACAATGGGAGTCGTTGTTCCGGATCGTATCGTAGAAGCTATTGCAAGTAGATAAGAAACACTTCGTGGACGAATGAGATATACAAAGTGAATCACCCTAGTGACCAAGTCCCTCGCCTCGAGAGACATCGATGAAGGGAACTTGAGATCCACCTTGGCAATACGACGATACGTATCTTATCTAGAGTTAGTGACCTGCAATATACGCGGGTCAAGTAAGGAGAGGACTCACTGTTCACACTACTGCGATCCTCAAATGGAGGACTGCCGATCATAAACTCATAAGTGAGGACACCGAGAGCCCAGTAGTCGACCTTTTCGCTGTGTTCCTTGCCCTCCACCATCTCTGGCGGTAAGTAGTCCAACGTTCCACACAAGGTCATCCTACGATTGCCCGGCGCGTGCACACTCCACCCAAAATCAGCGATCTTGAGCTCCCCGTTGATCCCGAGCAACAAATTCTCCGGTTTGATATCGCGATGAATAACATGCTTCCCGTGAAGATACGACAATGCGTCCGCCATCTGGTCGATATACCGCGAGCTTCGTTTCTCAGAGAAGCAGCCGTATTTGCTGAGCTGCCTGTACAGCTCCCCCTTCCCAGCGAACTCCAGCATAAGGAATATCCGCTTTTCATCGTGGAAATAACCGTAAAGCCGTAGGACGTTGGGATGTCGCAAGTTCTGCTGGATCTCGATTTCACGGCGGATCTGCTTCTCCACTCGGGATTGGATGATTTCAGACTTATAGAGAGTTTTCAGAGCAAGGATGTACTTGGGCTCGGCCTTCGTGCGAACCATGTATACGCGACCGAACTTCCCTTTACCGAGAGGACGCCCCATATCGAATGAGTGAAGTGTCCATTCTCTTGTTGGGCATTTCCTAAGATACCTATCAATGAACCACCACCAATAGCCTCTGAGAAGGTGCGTACTTGGATGTGCTCGAGTCTAACGCAAGCTCTTCTGCTGCCTCGCCATAAACCTTCTCGCCCCTCTTTTCGTTCTCAATTTCCAGACCGCCATCATATGTACCAATGTCAATGCCACTGCGGGGATCTGATTTCGTGGAGGTTGTCGCATGATGTGAGGAAGAAGCTGCAGCTGTGGTGGGGTGCCTCAAGGCTGAAGGTTGTTTCGCTGTTGAGTTCGGGAACGGATTTGGTGCAGCAAACTTAGTCAGTAGTTTCGTAACGTTACTCTGGCTGGGGTGTTTCGCGTGAGTTGGTCGATTTATCGAGGAGGAGGACGCAGTTTTCTTTCCATTGATGTCGAGGGCGGCGATTTGACGGGTTACAGAGGCGACAGAGGTCATGGTACAGACGATGGTGGTAATACGAGCACAAGATGCGAGGCACGCACGCACTGACACACAGACTTAGGGGGTTCAATTCATGGCGCGCAATGACCACGTGATGGTGAATGGGAATTATTCTACTTTTTATACTAGACCCACAGCAGAGAAACAGGAGGGAACATCTAGTAAAGAAGCGAGGATGTATCTGCACGAATACGGTTATAATCCAGGAGACCCTCAACACTTCCCATCGCGGCAATTGCAATCTAATAGGGCATTGATCAGTATTTATCAAGTAGCGGAGGGAATGAATACAAACATCCTTATCCCAGATGTATTTCTGGGCGACACGCTTGATCTCGTCGACGGTGACAGCGTCAACAGCCATCTCAATCTGCTTGGGCGACATTCGGCGTCCAGTAGTGACGAGTTGGCGACCAATATCTTCAGCAATAGCTGTTGTTCCGTCGAGACCAAGGAGGAGACCAGCCTTGAGCTGGCTCTTTGCCCGCTCAACTTCGGCCTCCGTAGCACCGACTGCCATGCGAGTCCACTCCTTGAGGATGAAGTGGGCAAGATCGTCCAAGTTAACTACATTCTCGGAAACACAGTAGATACCCCAGAGACCGGTATCTGAGTAGGACGTCGAGAAGGACATGAAGGAGTTGGCGAGGTTGTGCGAAGATACAATGTGTGAAAGCCGTGATGAGAGCAATGGCGAGGCACCAAGGCTGCGATCCCAGTTACCAAAAATACTTTGCATGACCATCATGGGGAAGTAGTCCGGCGAGCTCCAGCCAACACCCTCAACCGCAATGGCGAAGTTGGCAGTCGGTGATTCGTCGTCACGGATGCGAACCTCAGAGCCGACGAATGATGTCTTAGGGTGAGCGAGACGGCCGAGGGGAATGGGGTTGGGGGAGACGGGGAGGGAAGAGAAGTGCTTTTCGGCAAGCTTGACGAGTTCAGCGTGGTCGACACCACCGGCACCAACAAGGACCATGCGGTCGGCGGTATAGTTGGTTTTTATGTAAGATGAAAGGTCGTCGCGCTTGATAGACAAAATATTCTGCTTAGGACCGAGGATGGTACGCCCCAGTGGTTGACCTTTTGTAACGCAACATGATCTAAGACGGAGAGCGGAGGTAAGGAGGTAGAAGGCACGCACCCTGGAAAGCAACCGAATGCAAATGGTCGAAAACGACTTCTTCCAGTTGCTTGTCAACCTCCTGTTGCTCCCGAAGAATAACATCTCTCTCCCTCTCGATAGCCGAGTTCTCCAGCTTGGAGTTTTGAAGGATGTCACTGATGATATCGACGGCGACGGGAACATCCTTGCGGAAGCTCTTGGCGTAGTACACGGTCTGCTCGCGGGACGTGTAAGCATTGAGATGGGCACCAATATTCTCGACCTCCAACTCCAGACCGTGTTGCGTCCGTTTGCCTGTGCCCTTGAAGGCCATGTGTTCCAGGAAATGCGCGGTGCCGTTAGTTGCGTCGGTCTCTGCTCGTGAGCCGGCATCTATCCAGACACCAACGGTGGCGGTCTGCGCCTGCGGATGCGCCTCCGTTGCAACAGTCAGGCCATTGGAAAGCGTGGTCACCTCCGTAAAAGGACCAGAAGTATTGTGCGCCGTAGCAAATGCCCGTAAAGAGCGCTAGCACCCCAAGTCAGAAACCATTACAAGCTGGTATAAGAGAAACATACTGGACTGCGCACAGCGCTTCTAGCAGCGCGACTGAGCACCGTTCGTGAAAGCATTGGAGGCCGTTGGAAAGATTTGTTGGAAGAGTGACCAGAGCGGAAATTCACGGTCAGAGTCTCGGCGGCAGTCGCTGGATGCCGAGCCGTGGGTAGTAATTGCCAAATCCACATTGCACTTCGGGATCCAATCATTCCACGTCCATTCCTCAAGGCCTCAAGGCCTCTCTTACTGTTCATATCCTGAAGTACACAATTGTTAATTGATGAGCTGGAGAAGAGAATATTCATTATCAAGATCTAATTGCATATTTTACGTGAACAAATGGTTCATCCATGGACAGCGAACGACAAGTAACAAGAATGAATTATGAAGCTATACGGAGACGTCTAACATTTTCAAGATCGAAAGCAGTGGCAAGGAACTCCTCGATCTCTCTCTTGTGTTGTGACTATAGAACGATAATCAGAGGCGAATGTCTGAGGTGAGTCAGGCAAATTTACCTTGCTACCGGTTGCGACAGAGCTGGTTGGTTCACGACCAGCATAGTACGGGTACTTGCCCTTATGGTGCGCTGTCTGGCTGCCGGCGGTGTAGATACGAGGACCAACGTAGCTCCAAGCACCATTGTTCAAGGGCTCTTCCTGTAAAGAGAGTAAACATCGGGCCAGTCAGGAGAGAGAATGGTTAAAGCGTACTTGGCACCACATTAAATCAGCGTGGGGGTACTTGTCTAGGTGTGCAGTAACCTACGAACACAGTTAGATTACGGCCCCGGAACCTTACAGTCAAGAAACTCACAAGATCGTAAGGGAAGGGCGACAACTGTTCAAGTCTGCTAATGGCAACATTGTTGTAGCCCTTGGCTTCACGTTCGGCTAGAAGAGCTTGGTAGACTTGACCTATAACAAATGTAGTCATAATATAAGGAGTGTCAAAACAGACGACTAACCAGTGCAAAGAATGTGTCTCTTGATCTCCTCAGGAGCTACGAGTTCTTCGGGATGGGGGTCAGGAATGTATCGCTGGAAGCTAGTCTCGCCGGTCATCTCAGAAAGATCTGAACGAGCCTTGGGATGACGGAGCAAGTTCTTCGAGAAGAAGATGATAAGCTATATTGTCGAAGTATCAGCATAACCATCTCGCGTTCTAAATGACGATGTCTACGAACTGGCTTGCGGAAGTCGCGGTGGATTTGACGACGCAGGACATGGAACTGTTGCAATGATCAGGCAATGAAATCGGATGGACAAATCACAACGCACGTAGTTGGCAGGGGTACTGGGGTACACCACTTGCATGTTACAATCCTGATGTTGACGTTCGATCTTCTCCGGAGTGGGGAAAACATGAGGATGGTCATCACATAGTTGCAGGAACCGTTCAATTCTGCCACTAGAATGCTCGGGGCCCTGGCCATCATATCCATGCGGCAAGCTCACCACCAGACCAGTTCGCTGAAGCCATTTGCGCTCCCCAGCAGCAATGAATTGATCTATGATGCACTGCGCGTTGTTGGCAAAATCACCGAACTGAGCTTCCCACATAGTAAGACAGTCGGGGGAAACCAAGGAGTAACCAAGTTCGAAGCCGAGTGTTCCATACTCTGAGAGAGAGGAGTTACAAACGACGAAGCGAGCTTGGTTAGAGCCGAGGTCGTTCAAAGGAATGTACTGCGATTCGTTGTGCTGGTCGTGAATGACAGCGTGTCTTTGCGAGAAAGTACCACGCTCGACGTCCTGGCCGGAGACGCGGACGTGAATTTTCTCTAGGGCGAGAGAACCAAAAGCAAGTGCCTCGGCGGTTGACCAGTCAATGTTGGTTCCTTCCTCGACCGTCTTGCCACGGGTCGTAAGAATACGTTGAAGGTTACGATGGGGAGAGAAGTCGGGGGGAGAGGTGGAGATGGCCTTTCCGATGCGCTTGAGGATCTCTTCGCTAGTACCGGTAGGACGGGTGGGAAGTGTTTGCTCGGCTAGTTGTCTCGGCGAGGGGAATCCTTGCCATGAAGCAGACAACCACTCCTTGCTCGTGGGTACGTAGTCCTTGGATGCGGCCGCGGCCTTCTCCAACATACCCCATACCCACTTCTTATGCTCTTCAATATCCTTCTCGGTGAACGTGTTTCGGCCAACCAGGAATTTAGTGTACTGTGTGAGAGGAGTAGGCTGCTTCTCAATGGCCTTGTACATGCGAGGCTGAGTGAACATTGGCTGATCAGTCTCATTGTGGCCATAACGACGGTAGCAGACAATGTCAATGACGACATCCTTCTTGAATTTAGCACGGTAGTCGGCGGCAAGCTGGCAAACGAAATTGACGGCCTCAACATTGTCTCCATTGACATGGAAGATCGGCGAGTCGATAGCTTTGGCGATATCAGAGGGGTAAGGAGTAGAACGCGAGAAACGGGGATCGGTGGTGAAGCCGATCTGGTTGTTCACTATCAAGTGGATGGTGCCTCCAGTACCATAGCTTGGCAAACTGTGCATGCCCATGGTCTCATAAACGATTCCCTGGCCCGCGAAAGCGGCATCACCGTGTAGCAGAACACCCATGGCCGTGTTGTGGGAAGTTTCGTCCTGCTCAAAATGCTGGATAGCACGAGTCTTTCCAAGTACGACGGGGTCTTCGGCTTCCAGATGTGACGGGTTGGCGACGAGGGAAAGCGAGACCTTCTTTCCTGAAGGAGTGGGGCGGACATAGTTGGCGCCTAAATGGTACTTGACGTCACCGGCAGGCGAATCGCCCTCGTCTCCCGAGAATTCGTTGAGAATGGCCTCAATGGGTTTGCGGATGACATTGGCAAGGACGTTCAGACGGCCACGATGCGGCATACCAATAGTGACGTGCTTCACACCGTGATCGACAGAACGGTCAATGAGAGCTTTCATCCCAGGGATGAGAGCTTCGCAACCCTCCAAACCGAAGCGCTTCTCGTTAGGGTACTTGCTGGCCATGAACTTCTCAAATGATTCTGACCAGATGAGGCGATCCAAAATCATACGCTTCTCCTCGACGGTGTAGTTCCATGGTTTGGGGATTTCGACACGCTCCCTGATCCAGTCGCACTGTTCCTTGTCGGGAATATGGACATATTGTATACCGACGGCCCCACCTAATAAATTGGGTTAACGATGGCTGCCAAAAATGCACGAAGAGTTGGCGCACAATATATACGCTGGCAGAGCTTAATGATCTCGCCCAAGGTCATAGACTTGCGGTCTTCTGTTGCAAAGTGTGGAAGGATACCGGGGCCTAACGTGATTTGCTTTTCAAGGTCGCGCTCTGAGAAGCCATAGCGACTCAGTTCAAGTTCGGGGGGATGGTAGTCGACAAGATCGGCGTGAAGAATGCCCAGAGGATCCAAGTCCGCAACATGGTGACCTCGAACTTGATATGCTCGCACAAGCAGTTGGACCTGGAGAAAACCGGGATGAACATTTTATGGTCCACAAGTTGCGTCATGCCACTCACTTTCAAATGGTCGTCCAATTCCCCGGATGTAGAATACAGTGCAGGCGCTCCATCAGCAGGGGGTGGTAAATGCTGGGTTGCAGTTGGGGGCGGTTGGAATGCCTGCGGGCTCGACAGGCCCTTGTCCATGCCTCGGAAGTAAACGTCCCAAGAAGCATGTACCGCCTTGGGATCCTGCCTCCAGATCCGGTACATCTCCTCAGCATAATATGCGTTCGTGCCATTTGCAAAAGGATCGTTAGGTGACGGAGGCTTGGCCGGAGTAGCCATGTCACGTTTTAGTGCAAAGACTGCACGATGAGACTGCTTTGCCCATGTTGCAGGCGACGCTGGGAAGCGTCGGATAACTTGCCTGCAAAGCATTTTCAAGAAGGGATACTGCACTGCAGACGGTGGTGGTGGTGATGGTAAAAGATGAATCAGGGAGAGAACGCTGACGGTTGTGGTGTGACGAGCTCAAGTTGCCGGATCCGGTAACTAACGCCAACTCTCATGGCCGCGGTTCTCACTCGTGCACATTGCCTTCCCCCCGCCCCCACCCTCCCATGATGTTGATGACAAGGGCGAGTACAAGATTTCTACGTGGACTATCACATAGGCTCTATCAGCAACAAGCAAGTGCACTGAATGGAATTCCACCGCCTTTACAAGGCATCAAGGTCGTAGACCTCACCCGGGTTTTGGCTGGCCCGACGGCAACGATGTTGCTGGCAGACCTCGGCGCCGACGTGGTCAAAGTTGAAGAGGTTACTCGGGGTGATGACACCAGTGCGTCGCGTATTTTGATAGCTGAGAGGCTGCGGAATGCTGCCATCGCCCAAGCGGGAATTCTTAAAGCGATGATCTCCCCTGTGGTTTCCCCTGATCCAAGCTATATGTTACAAGCGGAACCGCAAACTCTCAGTCAAGTCAGAATATTGACCAACGCATATACAAGGACAATGGGACCCACCATCTGCACCTTTGATCGAAGGTGCACCTGCGGAGGCAAAACATCTTCCAGCGGAGTCGGCCTACTTCCTAGCCGCGAACAAAAACAAACGGTCTATGACTGTAAACTTCAAGAAACCGGAGGGATTGAAGATCATCCATAAAATGATTGCCCAGGCGGATATTCTCGTGGAGAATTACATTCCCGGCAAACTCGCTAGCATGGGGCTTGGCTATGAAGACTGCAAAGCTATCAACCCCGGCCTTGTGTACGCATCCATCACTGGTACGTCATCCTCGGTATCAAGGCTGTTTAGGCTGTGATTGAGTTGGCGTAGGGTATGGTCAGACCGGGCCATATAGCCAAGCCCCAGGCTACGATGTCATAATCGCCGGCGAAGGTGGGCTCATGCACATGTAAGCCTGCCTGCTTCTTTACGGTCCTGTGCAGCTGCCCTCAATATCCAAATAGAACTGGGGAGCCAGACGGACCGCCTTGCAAGGTTGGTGTCGCATCGACGGACATTGCGACAGGGTTGTATGCTCATGGGGCCATCATGGCTGCCCTCATCTCCAGACAACGCACTGGCAAGGGCGTCTGGGTAGACTGCAGCCTGTTTGATACCCAGGTAATCCCCGCGTCTTTGCCGAATCTCGGATAAACTGAACTCTACAGCTCGCTGGTCTCGCCAATGTCGCGTCGAACTATCTAATCGCAGGACACGAGGGCGGTCGACATGGAACTGCTCACCCGTCGATTGTTCCATACCAAGCATTTCCTTGTAAAGATGGCTTCCTGATGTTCGGGACAGGAAATGAACGCCAGGCAAGTGTACCCTATTCATGTCGAACGACGCGTGTAGGAACTTACCTCGATAGTTTAAAACCCTGGCTACACGCATTCTAGAGCAGCCCGCGTTGGCCGATGATCCTCGGTTTTCGTCTAATGCTGCCAGGGTTGCGAATCGAACTGAACTGATCAAGATCATCTCTGACGTGCTCACCACCAACACGAGAGATTACTGGATAGAGAAGTTCACTGGGCTTGGGTATGTGGTGGTTATCGAGCGTAATAAGGCTGTTCCGTCTGACTCCACCGACAGTATACCATTTGGTCCTATCAACAACGTTCGCCAAGCGTTTGAGCATCCACAGGCGAAGGCTCGCCATGCAGCTGTAGAGGTTGATGTAAGGCCGCATGCTACCGAGCGAATGCGTATTGACTATGACAAAAGCATCCGAGGGCAGGGAAAATCAAGGTTGTCGCCCCAGCAGTATTTTATGACGGTAAGAAAATGCCCGTGAGACGCCCACCGCCGTGGCTGTCACAACATACGTCCGAGGTATGGGGTCGTGTGCTCCCTTAACAAGTGCTGTTCCCAACATTCGTCTTTCCAGGTTCTGGAAGAATTGGGGTACAGCTCGAAGGAAATCGAGGAATTGAAGGAGGGGCAGGTTGTGTAGGTAGTAGTATACAGCAGTAACTCTAGCCCCATCCACGGGTACATATGGGACGTCATATGAACAAAGAGTAGATCAATCTGAGGTCGGTCCGTTGATAATCAGTTAGCCGTTCTTGGCTCTCTCCCATCATCACCAAATTCTATAATTCATTTCTCAATGGCGCATTCAGCATCACAGGTCGACCGCTCACGCCCCCTACAAAACTCCTGTTGGCATGGAATCTACGCAGAAACGGCGAAATTCCTCTCCTCCTGTTAAAAGCTTACCTACGTCCGAGGTGAAACCATTGCCCGTAGATGCCGCTGATGCCCCCTCGCCCCCACCAGCAAAGGAGTTGGAGTCGCCGGCAGATGAGGATGATTTGGCTGACGACGAGACGGATGACGGCGACGACAACATTCCATCAGTATGTCTTATCCATTCTCTACTCTCAATAGACCCCAGCCACCTTGGAGGTCATGTAAAGCCATTTGAGCTAATGTCTTTGATGCTAGGACATCATCGATAAGGAGATATTCAACCAAATCCTCGATCTCGACGATGGGGACACGAAAGAGTTTTCGTTTGAAATGACCGCTGCGTATCTAGTTCAGGCGAAGGAGACATTCGTCAACATGGATCGCGCGTTGTACGTTACTGCACCGATCATCACCACGATTAAGTGTTAACCCAGTGTCGCAGATTGGCAAAGGATTTACATGAGCTATCACGACTGGGCCACTACTTGAAAGGCTCCTCTGCCGCCATCGGAATCAAGAAGGTACAGGCCTCCTGCGAGAAGATACAGCACTGTGGGGACAATGCTGTGGGAGAAAGCAAGCTTGGTCAAGCTGAAGCACTGCAGAAAATCACGCAAATGGTCAGCCAGGCGAAGAAGGAAAACGAGAAGGCTGAAGAGTGGCTCCATATATACTACAAGGACGAAATGGAGGCTGCTTCATGATGGAGGCCAAGCTGGGAGGTGCCACCTGTCAGAGGATCTAATATATACCGGGGATGGTGATGCCGCTAATCAGTGTGTAACAAAGATTTGCCTGCGCTGGGGTGCACGCTTGGAATCTACGGGGACTGACTTATCCTTTCGATCTGCTTGCTCGTCAGCGAGCCCTCTAGACACATCATATTTTCCATTGTAGCCTATCATTTATTGCTTCCATGCCTTCGAATCTCTTTGATTTACTGTACTTCATGAACGCTGCTGTAAATACTGTACAAGCTTACGTGCATCCTTCCTTTCGCTAGGAGAAACTCCTATTTCCCTTTCTTTCTCACCTGACCGATAGTTACGCGACTTCGCGTCTTGCCACCCTTGTTGTTTCTGATTGAGTACCATGTCATTGTCGCTACGAACCCCAGAATCGTTTCCAGCATTTCCGTTCGATCCTCCTTACTCCATACAAGTGGATCTGATGAAGCATGTCTATTCTGCCATCGAAAACCGCAAGGTAGCTATTATCGAGAGTCCCACAGGAACGGTACGCGTTTCATGTTGCGAATGCGAACACGGGATGATTCGTTTACACCCTCATGCAGGGAAAGACATTAAGCTTGCTCTGTGCTACTTTGACGTGGTTAATGGATGAGAAGCAACGAGCAAAGAAGGGAAAACTACCAGAATCTAGGCGAAGCGGTGATGGTACCGTCCATCGAGTCCAGATGAGGCCTGCTCGGTTCTAAAATATTAATTGTAGCACCTGACTGGGTGGTGGAGCAAACGAGGCAACGCCTGATACGTGAACTTGAGGTGGAGGAGCAAGAGACCCGAGACCGCCTCATTAAAGCTCGCAAGCGGGAAGAGGCCATGGTCAAGATGTCGAAAGCCAGGGTTAAGAAACGACAGGTATAATTATCGTATCGTGCACTGCCTATGAAAGTTGACAGGTACTATCATGAGAAAACTACTGAGCAAAGTCATACGACCGACGAGATCGAGGGTGATGACATGTTTTTACCCGACGAAGATGTCGACACGGACGATAATATATCGCCAAGTGTGCGGGCCCTAATGGCTAAGTTTGTAGTGCCGTATTGTTGTATCAACTGACTTATCTTGAGCGTTCGTAGGTTTGAAATCGGCGGGAATAAAGCTAATGGATGGGATGGAGCAGCAAATACACCACACGCTACCAAGATATACTATGCGTCCCGTACGCATTCGCAGCTTACTCAAGTCATTCCAGAATTAAGACGGCTCAACCTACACGCCGACATTTCCACGGTCCAACATACAACCGCCACCCCAGGAGTCAAACGCAGTGCCGAAGAGATCGAAAGTGACGACATAACTACATTGTTCACACCTGCCGTAGCCCTGGGATCCCGCAAACAGCTTTGCATACACGAGGAGCTGCGGCGAAACCGATGGGACCTTGATGATAAGTGCCGTGACCTATTAGACGGTGAGTCGAGAAGCATACGCCTCTGTCTAATGTCCCATGATGTTTATTACTTCCTAGCCAAGGCTGATAAACGATGTCCTTATCTTCCTCCAATTGGGGACGAGAGTAAGATGATCGACTTTCGAGACCAAGTACTAGTAGGTCCAATGACTGCTTTGGACAGATACAATCAACAGGGATATTTTAGTCGACGCCTAAGGATATCGAAGAACTTGCCGAAGCAGGAAAGATAGCTGATACATGCCCGTATTTCGGGTCTCGCCATGCGATTCCCCAGGCTGAGGTACCTTCTTTCATCTCTCTTCTTCTATTGGTAGCTCATAGGGAGCAGTTGGTGACGCTTCCCTACAATCTTCTCTTACACAAAGGTGCTCGAGAAGCTTTGGGGATCGACTTACGAGACCAGGTTGTTGTTATCGACGAAGCACACAGTATGACGTCTAGTGAAGCATTCGGTTCGCAGCAGACTAACCGAGGTTATGACAGACCTGATTTCCACTCTTCTGTCTATCACAAGCGCGCGGCTGACATCGCGAGCACTAGGCGTTGCATTTGCCCAAGTATGCCACTATGTTGCCAAGTTTCGGACGAGATTGCTGGCCTTCCATATGCTCCATCTCAAGCGTCTCGTTACTTTCATGAAAGCCTTGAAAGAATACCTGGTCGAGTGGGCCAAGTCACCTGCCAGTGCTTCGCAGGCCCACGCGAAGACGAAGACAGAAGCCTTGACACCCGCTCGTCTTTTGGAACGCGTCGGAAAAAATGTTGCCGGCTTTAACTTCTTGGAGATTGAGAGTTATTTACGGAAAAGCAAAGTAACGAACGTGATCGAATCTTCGGTCAATCATTGACGCGTGTTCTCGAAGGTTGCGAAGAAGATATCCAAATATGCGGAGGCTAGTAGCTTTCATAGCAGTCCGTGGTTTATCTAACCGACGAATCACCCACTCACATCCCAAAATCTCCTAGATCTGCCTAACCACGAGTCAATCACACTCCCACCTCTCCAACATGTCGAAGCGTTGATTGTCGCCCTCGTATCTGCCAATGAAGGTGCGTACCCTCACGGTCGTAGGTCACCGCCACTCGAACCACGTTTCTAGACGGCTGCGTGATGCTCACCTGCACTGGCCCGGATGATGTAGAGGTCAAGTACCAGACACTGAACCCATCTCCTGCCTTCATGGAAGTGGTAGAGTCCTGTAGAGCGGTCATCCTTGCTGGCGGGACAATGTCTCCGGTAAGTCTTCTCCACTTTGCGGGCAGCAATCAAATTGATCTGGTGGCCTACAGATGTCCGATATTATCGCTCAGTTATTCTACCCCTTGGAATCATCAAGGCTGTCGACATTCAGCTGCGGGCATATAATGCCCCCTTCTAACTTGCTGGGTGTGGCGCTTGGAAACGGACCATCGGGAGTAGAGTTGGACTACAGGGTAGAGCAGCAGCAGAGCGACAAAGTCGTACGTCTGTTATTCATTTCGATCTGCTAGAGATAATCCTGGGTTATTCGTAGGTGATGGAACTCGGCCAAATTCTGTTAAATCTCTGCAGGCTCCTTCCTGCCGGTACTGTGGCATTCTTTCCTTCATACAGATTCTTGGCCAAGGTTCGCACGTTATGGGAAAAGCAGGGTACCCTTATGAAGTTGACTCAAAGGAAACAAGTACGTGGTGATGCACGGATTCCGGATGGTATGCTGATTTCATACTGACGATAGATTTTCTTCGAACCCCATGACTCTACCGACGTTGACGCAACGCTGAAAGCGTACAGCCAGGCGGCGAAGGTGGCTCCATCCAATGGTGTAATCCTTCCGTTTAACACCATTTCGTAGGGTACATCAAACGGCGCTTTGTTGTTCGCTGTAATTGGTGCAAAGTTGTCCGAAGGGCTCAACTTCTCTGACGAACTCGCACGGGCAGTGATTATTATAGGGTTACCTTTCCCTAACCTTGGGTCAGCCGAACTCCAGGAACGGATGAAGTTCGTCAGAACGAAGTCGAACAGCCAATCACAGTCGCAAGGGAAGAAAGATCCCGGTGTTGAACTATACGAAAACATCTGCATGAACAGCGTCAACCAGAGCATAGGTAACCAAACATGAACCTCTCTCCGTAACATCCACCCAATTCACTTCCAACCAGGCCGCGCCATCAGGCACCGAAACGACTGGGCGGCGTTGATATTCCTAGACAAGCGGTATAAATCTCAAACGATCAAGAACAAGCTCTCTGGATGGATTCAGCCGCATTATCATCCCGTCGATACATTCGGGCAGGGCATTAAGGCGTTATCATCTTTTTACCAATCACATAGAACCTGAGTGCCTCAGACGAAATACATAGGTGTTATACCATCGAATGTGGCCCCGCTGACATAGTGCTTAGCTTGGAAGGAGGAAGGAAGGGAATTATGACATTTTTCGGTCAAATGTGACCTCCGTCGTTCTCAAGACAGTGACCTGACGTTGATGTCTGTGTGTGCTCTGTCGCATGTCTGCTATTCCTGGCCAAAACAGCGGCCTGACAATCCTTTCCGTTCATTCGTACGCGTTTGGTGGATTTTGACCTTATCCGAGCACATGTTGGTGTAAGGTGTTCCATCATGAGGCCTGCTTCTCTTTCCGCCCTTTGTCTGATCGCCTGGGAACCTCACGTTGTTTCCGTTCCTTAGCTCCTTTTGATTCCCTTTAATTGCGGGTGTACCGACGCTATTCCGTCACTCAGTCGCTCCTCAGCCTCTGAATGAGGATGGACCGTAGGTCTGGCAACTGTACTCGTTATGATAAGCGCGCTTGTTCAGCTGTGAACTCAACCACGGCGTATTATCCAGGCAACCCACAGGACGGCACATCGACGTCATCTACCATACATCCGTCGTCGTCTTCAATGGCGAGGTCCTCTACAGCACGCGGCGGATTATGACTCTGCTCCAGGCAAATTCCATGTCCCTTGCTACCCACTTGCTATCGTTCTTTGTCTCTCGTTATATTCATGCAAGCGCACACTGTGCGAACGCTTGGGCCTCGACACCTGGAACATCTCGAATTAAGGGAACAAATACCAACCGATGAGTACACCGAAGAACCAGCTCGTGCTGCCCGACGCAAGTCCCAACTAATCGCGGCAAGCTCCCCCCCGTGTCAACTACCCCCACCATCGAACACCTTGCAAAATATAGCAATACAATTGGCAATGGCAATTGGCAACAAGAGAATCAGCTGTCCGATGTTCGCCCAAATCGGCAAGGCTTTTCACCTCGCTTTACCCTTGGGGAGCAGTTCTTCTGCACAAATTCCTTTTTCGGCGGTCACAGAACCGTGAGTTCCCCTTCTTTCAATACACCCTCCCCCCAGTCTCCATCCCAACCTACTTGACGCAGATTCCAAGGGCATCCTCACTCCTCTCATACACTACCGCTCACTGGCAGCACAATTTCAGCACGATCAGCACCAACAATTTCAGCAGGACATTTATGTAACCGTAAGTAGTTGTCAATGATCCAATCAATTGAATCAATTTCTCACAGTCGTGAGGTGAAGCACCAGTTTACTTTTCGACAGTGATTCATGAATCATGAAGTTACTTTTCTGACTTTTGGGGACTTTTGTATGGGAAAAAGTGGACACAGAATGGCCAAAAAGGAATTTGGTGCACTCTTTTTCGACTCACTTTTCCCATACGAAAGTTAGGCCGAAAAGTAACTTTGTGGATAACCATTGAAAAGTAACTTTGTGAGTGGCCGTTGAAAAGTAACCTTGTGAATCACCGAAAGGAGCGTGTATCATAAGGACAAATAGCCTTGAGCGTCTAAATCCATGAATTACCTTAAATAGCAAGTGTGATCGCGAGTGATTAATTTTTAGGAGCGTGGAAAATGCAGATGTCCTGTGTTCCAGGGCTCCTGTAGCGCAAGTGTAGGCTACTCAATACAGGGCCTGATGGTCTAGTGGTACGATGCTTGCTTCGGGGAATGCCATTCTAGGCATAGTAATACCGCCCTTCATGGAAAGGCTGAAATGCAAGAGGTCCCGGGTTCAATTCCCGGTCAGGCCCTTTTTATGTCTCTTAGCTCCCGAAATCGAAGGAAATGAATGATAGTCGCGACTACGCTAGCGGTGTCCGCTCAGCAAGGGGACAAGAGGGACGTCCGCTATGGTGTCATAGTATTTGAGGTATGCGGAAAACTAGGTTTTTTCACTGGTTGATAACACTTCTCTCCCCCAATCGGAGGCACCACAGAATCAAATAAGCGAGCTCTTTAATACCAACACGAAGGGAGTTCCAGTACGTAGCTTCGACTACCTATAAATCTCGGACCTCGCGTTCATTTTGAATTCTTCATCTTCATGCTATGTATCAAAATGATGAGCCGCACATGATGAAACTGGAAAATGAGGCGCGTACGTTGAAGAATCCAAGCCGCTCTTTGCGTCAGCCTTAGTCACCTTGCTAATATCTCTCTTAGGGCACAGCAGCCCATTCTTTAGCTGCTCGATGAGGGACTTGATTGAAGACCGAGGTCGCAACAACCCAGCTAAACTCCTCCTCTCTTGCTTTGGCACTGGGCAGTTCCCATGCTACACCAATAATAAACGGAACCGCCCAGGCATAATGATGAGATCGTAGCTCACCGTGAAGAGTTCCAGATCCTTCCTGAACAACGAATATTCCGTCTCCCAATTTGGTATGAGAGCAATGGGATGCTTAAAGTCGAGTCCAGCAACACCCTCGATGAACCCATTAAGCTTCGCGCAATACCAATCCGAATTGCCGCTGGGAGGCCCCGTTACCCCAACCGTAAGACCAGCACCAGCTCTCAACCCAACGTTCCCAGAAACCTTGACGTTGGAAAGTTTGCCCTTGCCTTCAGCGCCGAGGATGAGTTTTGGAGTGATAGAAAAGCCGATTTCACCCGTCGCTTTGTTGCCGTCTTCATCTTCGCTGATGCTCAAGTCGAAGTCTTGCCCGAGGTGGGGTTAGCGCACTGCGGACCTGAGTCATCTTTGTGGGGCACTCACATCCGTCTCGAGCATATGGTGTTGATTGTTCAGTACTTGGGATGGAGATAACAGCTTGATACAGGTTATTAGCCAAGCAACATCCCAAATGCACAATGGCATACCTCTATCGATGCCCCACTTAAAGCCTGTCTTGAGTTCGAGACCGACTCGAGCAGATGTATGGAATTCTCCGTCGATGCCGAACATAAGACCAGCAGCTAGATACCTGCCACCCAAAGTGTCAGCCATGGTACAATAGCACTCGAAACATTTACACACTTGAGATCAACCCCCGCATCAGGGATCGCCACTGGTTCTAACACAGTAAAGGATTTTTCAAATGTCCCCTAAAGATGGGGATTAGTTACTACTGGGTTCTGCTAAGTGGCCGTAGAATTTACCTCCAACGAGAGGGCTAAAGTCAGATGGTGCTCGAAGTGTGCGGAGAAGTCTAGGGAAGGAAGCGATCTAATCAATCGAGCTCGAAGCAAAGAAATAAGATAGCTCACCGACAAGATTGCTTGCCATTGCCTTGATCGACGAGAAGGTCAAGTCCACGACCGCTGCCGCACTGAAGAAGGCCGCACTACCATACGCTTTGTTATCCACCCTGGCATTAATTTCCGCTGTGAAAGCTAGATCGTTGCATCCAGCTAATGTTTTGTCTTCCGCCCAAGAGAGCGTATAATTCCTCGTCTTTGAGCCCCATTTGAATCCACCGTCGCTTCTTGTGCCATCAGTCTCTTCCCAAAACAACAATTTCTTTACATCAACCTCGCCGTCAGGTTTGGCGGCGTAGTAGGGATCTAGGATGGCCTTGACGGTTTTGATTGCGTTTTCGGTGACGTCTGGAAAGCGCAATGCGTTACTATTCCATTCGCTCTGTGGTTATTTGATCGTACCCTTTACCGCTTGTGCACTCCATTGATCCGCGCCAACCTGACTGATGATACTCCGTGGGACGGAGAAATCGGTGTCTACACCCGCGACATTGGTGCCTAGTGGACAATAGTGAATATTATGTTTGCTGAAACGTGTAATACTGCAGACCAACGGCAACTGCGAGGACTTGGCCGTACTTGGTTACATCAATGCTCGGGAACTGCACATTTAATCAGTTATTGTTCGGAATTTTGACTACAATAGTCTTTACATCGTCATCGATGCTGATAGCAAAGACTTGAGGCGCTGTTCCGTCACGGCGCGAGATCTTTGATGCAGCATGTTCGGGGATCGACTGGTTTTCATGAACCCGGAGGTTGGCGACGCGGGCGAATGGCTCAGATCCACACTACGATGTAACATTTGTTAGTCTAGTTCGGAGTAGGAGATTGAAGCCCGTTTACGTTTTCAGGTAGACGAACATACTTGTGGACGGGTCCGGCGCTGTCGAAGAGATGGCTTACCAAAAGGGGTGAATTTCTCGTCTAACAGCGTATATGGGTCTAATACAGACCTACAACCAGCGGCTTCCGCATCGTCGGAGTTACATACAAGACGAATGTCTTGCGCCATCGAATTTGCATCACAGTCGAGTATGACCCATCCTGCAGCAGGTGTGATATCTGAGATAGCGTGGGGTGCACCGATCTATCCCGAAGGTTGGTTAGCGAGACCTATGCACGAGAGGATATATGCTATGAACTAACCAATCTGATGGAGGCCGATTGTCCTTTTGTCGGAATATCATATGCACATTCGCCATTAAAGCATGGTTTGGACCAGTCATTGGCCCCACGCCCAGTAACCAAAGTGGCGGCAAGGATGGCCAGAACAAAGGTAGACTGGTATTGAGGCATCTCTGATTTACTATTGGTGAGCATCGGGCAGAGAAGAGTCAGCAAATATCTTACCAGCTGGGAACACAAGTATTGGACTTGCGGAGAGAATTGACTGATGTCTGAGTAGAATGCGAGAGTTGTTGCGGTATTTATAACGCTGGGTCCCGAGGAGGAGGTCAATGTATGTTCGGTGTTGATTCGTGTAGCTTGTCAACCTATCTCACTCGATGCACACCCATGTTTCTAGCCTCCTTCCCCTCGCTGGCCCAATCATTCAGACATACTTCATTGTACTGTGTGCAAAGCTTCGAGCGTTATAGCTTCACATTATAGCTGTAGTAATATTGCTAGTGCAGTAAACGTCCCTCTCTTCGGATGCACCAGTAGCGAGGAACTTGAAAGCATTCTGTCAGAGGGAGATTAATTCCGAATAACATTGTGAATTAGACCATCGACGGTCAAGCCTATGCGCTAAGACAGTGAATATAGGTTTCGAGAGCCTTGTAGACCTCTAGTTTGAGGTCTGACATGGTACTGACCTGAAACTCTCGTCAGCCCAACTGTCAGTGATCGCAAAGGGCTGTTATTCGGATCCATGGTCGTGGACGAAGTACAAGGTGGTCGTCACAAAGTCACACTGACTCGGTCACATTACTTACCGCTAAGTTATTCTCCCAGGTTAAATCAACCAGGTCATACTCGTTCGCTGGCTTGTCTCCTTCTACTTGTGCTAGCTTGCTTCATGTGTACTCAAAAGTAAGCTACTACGGTCACAAACGGTCACTCGGTTTGGCTACTATTCATCAGCAGTTGAAAAGCAATCAGATCAGCCCAAGACGGATTCCCCAAGCTGGGGAGGTCAATACCAAAACAAGTTCCCAGCCAAGCGGCTCCCGCTTATCGTCCTCACCGGGCTGGGAGATAAACAATAGGCCGACGGGGGATTCGAGTACATCTAATCCATCCGTCAACTCCCAAATCCCAAAAACTATGATGATGGGTGATCATATATATTGCCACATTCCTGCACGCTTCGACGCTTCTTTCCTCTTTTCTTGTTGTCACCACCATGTCGACTTTGACTACACAGCCGGATATTGCCCCCATTGATATCGACATTCCCGATAATTATGTCGCATACACGCTCAAGAACGAGAAACCTCGTCGGCCTTTCTCCTGGAAGAACTGGCGAAACGAGATCAGCTAGATCTCTGCTACCCTGCTGATCTCTACCCCGTCATCGGGATCGTCGGCGCATTCTACACGAGGCTCACATGGCAGACCGCCCTCTTCTCAATCCTCTATTACTATGTGACGGGGTTAGGGATTACTGCTGGGTATCATAGGCTGTGGTCTCATCGCTCATACAATGCCGGTGTACCACTCCAGCTCGCCCCGGCTCTTGCTGGCTCTGGTGCGTGTCAGGGCTCGATCAAGTGTTGGTCTAGAAAGCATCACGCTCATCATCGTTACACCGGCACCGAGCTCGATCCCTACAGCGCCAACAAAGGTTTTTACCACTCACACTTCAGGTGGATGCTAGTCGGGCCCCGCCGCAAGACCGGTGTCGCCGACATTTCCGACCTGAGCAAGACCCCCATCGTACGCTGGCAGAATAGGCATCATGTAGTCACCGCACTCGTAACTTGGCGAAGGATATCATAACTCCCATCACCGATTCCCTATGGACTACCGTAACGCCATTAAATGGTACCAGTACGATCCCACCAAATGGTTCATCTGGACTTGCGAACAAATTTCGTTCCCCATAGCTTACTCCGTTCTTCTCACAGTCCAAGAACAAGCCCAGAAACGACCTCTTATCCTTGTCTCTGGCTTCATGGAAGAACATCCAGGCAGGCGGCATCTACTCATCAAAATGATTGGAAAGGATGCTACTACTGCTTTCGTCGGAGGCGTTCACGATCATTCCAATGCCGCGCACAATGTACGCATCTCAAGACCCCACTCCTTCTCCCCTTTTCTAATCTTCGCCATCCACAGCTCTTAGCCATGAAGCGCGTCGGCGTCCTGCATGGTGACCACCCACACGGTTTGGAGGAGAAACTCATCCCACCGTCCCAGAGCCTCAAGATTGCTCGATATAACGAGTTGAGCTCTTCGTACGCTAGCAGTTCTTGGAGCGACAGTGAAGGGATGATACGATGAATTCATATTTTTTCCCTCCGCCCCTACTATTATACTTGTCCTTTTGTGTGCTTGGAGAGGTGTGACCCCAAACCTTTCTACGTGACATGTCAAATATCGTGGTTATGACCTACAACCACGAAGAAGAAGCTTATGCAAGACAAATGTCATGTGAACACTGTAACCAACTTTGATGATGAGCATACACTACGAAGCCACTAGCTGGCGCCGCGACATTACTCTGGGTTGCCCAACTCATCAGTCACGTTACTTACTACTAGGTTCTCTCTTGACGATCATGCCCTCAGCCAAATTCCCACTCATCGACCCTCAAAATCCTCTGTACTGCCCGGCGGTCTCCCCTTCTAGCTACCTGAGCCATCTACGAGGAAACCAAGGCTCCTTCGGGGATCAAAGAACTCTGTCCAGATCTTTCGCTCGTCTGCTAGTTCAAGCTCTAGACGCGATGCCCTCTGTATCCGAAAAACTATCTTCCGGGTCTCTATATGCTCATCTGCCACCTCTATGGGAATACGACGACGAATCGACATTGACTGTTTGTGACTCGGACATGGACTCTCTGGCGCGAAACCCCCACAAATCTCGGCCTTCGAAACGGAAGCGACTCTGCGATGATTCTGGAACGTTTCTTGAGCTAAAAGGACCGTCTAAATACGCGCGCTCATGCGCTTCTGTTCACGATAGCTCGTTCGAGGTTGGATTAACTCGTGATAAACTGCGCTATTCTAGCCTCGTCTCTTCCCCTCCCGAAATCGCCTCTGAGGACACCAGGTCTGAGGGAGATCGCCTTAGGGCTAGGATTCGAATTCTAGAAGGTCCAGTTGCTTTCTGCGTTGCGGGAATTCAGACTATATGCGTATATATAGATGCTCTCCGAGGTCCCGTAACTGGAACCGAAACTCCTCGAGGAATCAAGTTATTTATCGAACACCTGGACTCGTTGATGCCGGGTATACGCCTCAAAGATCGCATATATGCTCTGTCTGAATTATCCCATCAAGGCATCCTTGACTTCCTCGGGAACCACGGTACGCTGTGAATCGTGGTCGCTTACCTGCGTCCGTTTATTCCATTCAGGTCTTCTCACATATCGCATTCTCGACACTTTTCGAATGTCTGAGATTCGCTTCCTCTCTCTCGACAAATCACTGGCACGCGAAAACGGTCTCAACCTGGGTTCCTACGACACACTCTCAGGTAGGTCCACGCATCTCCGTTACCAACGAATCACACAGATAGATCCTAGTCCTCGGAAAACCGGACGCATTTTTATTCCTATCGGAACTCTCCCTCAACGGGGCTCAACTTCGCGACATCGACATTCTGAATGTACACCACCTTCCCCGTCTAAGTAGCCTATTCCTTGAAGAAACCGGTGTTGGAAACGAAACGTAGGCACTGTCCCTTTAGTTTCAGATAGCAATGGCTCACACACGTTTAGCATATTTCACCTTACTGCCCTCAAACGTACCTTGGCATTCCTCTCCCTTTCGCGTAACCCCGCCATTGACGACGACTCCGTCCCCGCTCTCCTCGTGCTAACTAAACTCGAATATCTCTGTCTTGTCGGCACCGGCGTACGGATGCCTGGTCTACGCCGGTTTGCCAACGCGATCTGGGAAGATGACCGTACCATAAGGATCGACTGCCCTGCCGAATGCGAAAAATACATCTCGCGTAAGCTCGCCCTCCATCACATATAGTTGTGGATGCATTGATTGATTGACCTTCTCTACAGGTGTTCATACCAAGTATCTAACGTGCCCCGCTCCGCCGCTCGTCGTCGCTCCAGAAGTTTGCGGACAACTCTCAGCGGGGGCACTGAAACGAAACTTAGCTGCTCACGCTATCGCTAACCCAACCATATTCGCCGGTGGAAATAAACAGGAAATGATGATCCGGTTAAAGGACATATTGGAGATGAGACGTTCCGATTTGCTGGTAAGGGATTTGATCCTTGGTGTAGACGAAGATGGGGATGTCGAAGACTGAATGAGGTAGAAAAGTAACTGCGATGAAAGAGATAACTGGGTTCATTTTTGTTTGTTTTCGTACGCTGTTCGTTGTTCATTGTTATATCGCTTTTGAAGCTCTTGAATATGCCTTCATCAACTACTACTCGCAGTGTGAACAGCCGGACCTAGTCTTCGCTTACGTTCGGAAACTCATTTATCTCTTCCTGTCAGTTATTCAGGATTATCCACATATACATACGTCGCGTGGCATGTAGTGATCAAGGAGATAATTGTAGCGCAAGAGTACATAACTGCTTGTGTGCATAGAGACAAATGAATGAACGTCGATAAGCATGGCCTCGTGTATATCGTCGTTCACTGAGATGGAAGAGAGGTTAGTCACTGATTGCTAGGATATTTTTCTGCATTGAACACATACGAATTGGAGGGCAGCACCCTTGGTCTTCTTCTCGCCACCGAGCTCGAAACTGGAGATAGGATATACCATCATACGAATAGCTTCAAGTATAGATCACTCACTGTTTGCATCGCTTCAGGGAAATTTGCATTTTGTACTTGCACACTGTGCATTCCAACCGTAGTACGACCTTCTTCGTTGTCTTAGCCTACGAAAGACGGGAATGTGAGATCCGTAATCGGTACACTCCACGCGCGAGGGCCTACCTTCTTGTGGAAGACAGGCTTTGTCTGACCACCATAACCCGACTGCTTGCGATCGTAGCGGCGCTTTCCCTGGGCGAAAAGGGAATCCTTGCCCTTCTTGTATTGTGTCACCTTATGAGGGCTACATCACCTCCTTTAGCCATACGTCCGTATCCAGAGCAATTCTAGACGTACGTGTGCTTCTTGCATGTCTTGCCCTTGCAGTCTACGCATCAGAGACGAGCTGTTAAGTCAGAAGGATCTCGGAAGTTTGCCTTAACTCACAGGTCCTGCGAGTCCTAGAATATTGCAGAACAAATGGTGGTCAGGTATTGTGCGGACAAGTACCGTCAAGACGTACTTCGGGATGTTGACCATTTTGTTGTTGAGAATGCCGCCGATGGGTGATCTACTTGCTACCAGATAATTCGATGGGGTGGTTCGGAAACTCCCGAATGGTGTGAAGTGTTCTGTATAGTTGCACTTTCAAGGTTTGTTAACTTATGTAATCGGACATCAACCAATTCGACGAAGGTAATTTGCACATAATGGATAACATCAGGAAAAGGGCAAGGGGTCTGAAAGCGCTTATTAAGCGCTTTCAGACAATCAGACGAGACTCTTAATTACGAAGGGTCACTTTTCTGAGTTCAGACACTCTTCTGAGCTCAGAAAGACTAAGACTTCTTCAAGGAGCATCAAGAGAGTATCAAGACAAGTCAAGATTCAATTCAGCCGGCTTTCAGACAAAGAAAAAGGATAACAAAGATCATATTAAGGAGTCGGAACAATGTGGTAAGGTGCCGAATAAGTGTGTATCAAGACAGAAGATCGAGCGTGTATGGGCGAGTATGGCGGGTGTCGAGCGAGAGTGTCCGAAGGAGAGTAGTAAGTAAAGAACATGTGTATGAAAGTGAAATCAGTGCAAATATAACTAAGCAATAGCGTAAAAGAAGGAATTTCAAAAGAGTGTATCAAGATGAAGGTCTTGAGAATATATGTTGAGGACTCGTGGGGTATAGCGACAGCCAGCAGTTAAGTGCTCGTCGATTCATTGAGTGTGGATATCAGACAGACGGAGGGGGGTTACGGCTGAGAACGAGAGGGGTGCGGCACCGTATTGGGTACATCATGTACGTGGCATGGCGGAGAAGCGATGAGAGCCTTGTATGTACAATTGCGCAACAAGAGTACTGTGCGCGTGCAGGAGATATGGACATGGGTATACTTAGGGCCTGAGCAGTGGTAGAGGCGCACGCGCTGGAGGCTCTTTGGTTAATCAGGAATCATTAGTGTCGTTGCAGCTAACAGTATACTTATGGTACTCACCGCCGTTGCTTCCATAGCCCTACTTCCGCCTCGGCCGGGGAACAAAGCTCGCACGGGCATCAAGAGGCTCTGCCAACATAACCTTGTCCTTGACCGGGGGCTTACACGCCGCAGAAGTAAAACTCTGCGCGGTCTCGATTATGTCACCCCAGCTCTCGAGGCTGAGCTTAAGGAAGCTCTGGGTCCAGCCAGCGGTTTTAGTGGCCCAAGTGGCGGAGTCGAACATTGGTAGGGTTACTTGGGTACCGTTAGGAGAGGGGCTGAGCACGTCCTGGGACCAGAGTTCCAAGGCGCGCTCCACCTAATAAAAGACAGTGGGTGAGAAAAAGATCAAAAGCAGCGAAAAAACTTACAGCAACAAGGGAAAGTGCCAACGCGCCTCCAGGAGGAACCAATGTCAGGTGGGGAAGACTCTTCACGGTGATAGCGCGGTTGATGAACTTGAAGTGAGCCGCAAATGTCTTAGCAACAATATCTGACTCAAACGAACCCTCCCAGTCCTAGACGGCCCATAATTAGACTTGCCGATGATTGAAAACTGGGACTTGGAGATACTGACATTGGGATTTTCAGAGTCGGCCACAGCGAACGTGAAGCCCCAGTACTTGGGTTTAAGAGCCCAAGTAACCCACGCCTTGCGGTATTCGAGGTCCTTGAACTCGGCATCGCTGTTCTCAAGTTGGAGCACAGCGTTGATCGCTTCTCCGGCAAGCCTTGTACGCCATTCATACGTGCGTTGAGTGATCTTGGAGATTCACCGAACAGTGAGTTGTTGGTGCCAGGAAGTCTTCAACATCAGGGCTTACCAGCGACAGGACTTTATCATCTGTATGATTCAGGCTGAACGTATGAGGAACCTCAGGGAATACAGTGTTCCAGACTGCCTGGTAGATCTTGATGTGCAAGGCACTCGCATTTTCCCAAGGATTGGTGAGTCTTGCGGCATACTTGATAACCGTTTCAATGTAAACCCGGCGGAAGGTTGCCTGGTCGACACCAGCTGGGAGATCTTTGTTGGTAGCCCTTGTCGAGGGCGGACGGCTTGGAACGGTGCTTGGTGCGCAGCTGACTTTGGTTGGGACAGACTCATGCTGAGCTAAAAGGTGCGCAACGAGTCAGGATAATATAAATGTAACACATTGAACACAAGAACTCACAGGATCTCTCGGATCTTTCTCCGTGGCCAACCGTAGGCTCAGCCCTTGAACGGAACTGCACAGGCCGGGCATTGAGAATGCCGTCATCAGAGTCAGCATCAAAAGCCTCTACGCTGTGGCTACTAGAGTGGGCATGAGGGACGGCACGACTCGGACTCGGAGGAGCAGCATGCGGCCTCTCTATGTCCGTGGGCGTCTTCGTCTTCTTGACAGATGGCTTGCTGGGCTGCACCTCCTTCAGCAGTTTCGCAGGCTGAATCGCGACAATGGCCTAGTAAAACAGTGAGTTCGAAAAATTGGAGGTATTTGGGTGAATAACAACTCACTGTCGAGGTTACACGCCTTCCAGCCTTAACAGGACTCAACTTTGCCGCAATCTGCTCTTCATCATCGGATCCATCTTTGTGATCCGCAATTCCACCGAATTTGACAGGAGATGCCTCCTCCGGAGTAAGGGGAGAATCGGGAATAAAGGTGGCTTTACGGTGAGGTGCTGGGCCGGGTCCGGGGGTGAAGAGGTTGTCTGGTGCACGCGAGTGAGGCTTCGTGGGACGGGGATGGGGAGTTTCAGGCTCCAGGGCATGCTCAGGCTCAGCGTTGTCGCTGAACGTGACAGCCCTCTCGCGTCCCTTGCCTTTCGGCACCTTGGGTGCCTTGTTCACATCGAAAGATTGAATCTCAGCAGCCTTCTCACCGGGGAACTTTGTTCCCGTCTTGACCCTCTTCGCCGGCGGCATCATGGCTTCTTCGATTGTGTTCACGCTGGCACCTCGCGTCTCCCAGGCCCTGCGAAGACTTTGACAACGCGTGAGCATTTGACTGATGATGAGAATCGAGATGACTTACTTGACCTTAGGTGGGATTGGCATCTGAGGCTCTTCTTCCATCACCATCACCTCTTCCTCCGCCTCCTGCGCTTCGTCAATGGCCAACAAGCCATGGTGACGAAGTAGCTCGATCTCAGCGCGTATAGAGACGCCTTTTTTCTTCTTGGACTTGGTGGTGGGCTTTGCGCGAGGTTGAGCAACGGGAACCTCGAAGTCCGAGCTAGGATCCATGAAGCCCTCAGGTACAAAGGATGACTTGCTTTCACCATCTGAGCTGATACCATGGTTCTCCTTGTCAGATTCTGGCTGTGTGACGTCCAACAACGCGTGGCTACGCTTCAGAGGCTGCCGCCGAGGACGAACACGAGGCTCGCTTGCTTCGTCTGCCTCCTTGTTGCGGAGAATAGCAGCCTCTGCCTGGGCAACTTTGGTGAGTTTTTTCCTGGTTTTTACCTCTGCCTGTTTTTTGCTGAGTTTCTCGGCCTCAGCCGCCTCCTGTATCTCAGCCTTGCTGCGTCGCCGTTGCTTCGGGACCGCATCACCGGGATGCACATCGACATTTTTCGCGCGGGTCTTGGGAGGCATCGAGATTGGGAGGCAGAGGAAGTGTTTTCAGTGACGGGCAGGTGGTGGTTGAACTCGAACGGTGGGAACAGGGTATGTGTCGCTTTTTCTCTGTTTGTCAACATGGTCACTAAGTTATATATTAGATTGATGGAACTAGGGCGTTTGGGACACTCTCCACAGCCGCACACCTCACGCCGAGTTCTCCAGAATAAATCTCTCGAAATCTGCTCCTCCATGGCTTCTCCAGCACATCGTACCGCAGGCCTACGCCGAAATCGCGCTCCCAAAGTGATTCCATGTTCCATCGAGGGTTGCTCCAAGTTTTTCCGATCACAATCCGGCCTCACTCAGCACTTGAGCTGGCATGCAAAGCAGCACGCTGAAGAGCAACCCAATCATTTTCCCTTCTCACCAACTCACGCACCGGAACCGATATACAACGACAATGATACTTCCGATTTTTCACTAGACGACACAATTTTTTCCGATGAGGACAACAGATCAAACTCATTTTTGGACTTAGAGTCTCGCTCAACAGGTACATTCCTAGTTTTATTATACCGAAGCATTAGCTCGAACTTATGCAAAACCAGACCCAGACCCAGACTCAGCATCAAGTGCTGCCGATTCCGAGGAAGATGTCGAGATTGAGACAGATGCCGAGACCGCATTTAATGCAGGGGCTTCAAAGCACTTCCACCCCATCATTAATGGTATGTTCAGCCAATTTCTGGCCTTGTATTTAGTATTGACACATGTCCCACCATGGCAGGGGCTCCATGTACTGCCAAAGGCGCCTTTCTTCCTCCCAACGCGTCGCCACAGCCTCGAAATATTAGACCGGATGATGACTGGACCCCCTTTGAAAGCCGCAGCGCGTTTGAAACCGCTGACCTGCTTTTTCGGCGTGTTCAAATGCGCCAGGAGCGTATCGACGACCTAATGAACATATGGAATCAAACAGGGTCTGCACCCTTTGCCAACCACAAGGCGATGTTGGCAACAATCGACTCTTCTCCCCTCGGCGGCGTTCCGTGGCAATCAATTTCCATATTCTACCAAGGCGCGAAGCCAGCTACAGACATCCCCCAGTGGATGGATGACGAAAACACTGTCTGGTTCCGCGATCCCCGGGAACTTGTCAAAAACATCGTTGATAATCCCGATTTTGAAGGCGAGTTTGATTATGCAGCATACCGCGAGTACGACGATAGCGACGAGCGCCGGTACAAGGACTTCATGTCCGGTGATTGGGCCTGGAGACAATCTGTAAGCACTTCTCTCCCAGCGAGTGATCCAATCTCACTTCCGTAATGTAGGACATCATAGCCAAAGACCCTAAGACAAAGGGTGCCGTCTTTGTCCCGGTTATCCTTGGCAGCGACAAAACAACGGTATCTGTCGCAACGGGCCAAAATGAATATTATCCCCTCTACCTCTCCATTGGCAATATTCACAACACAACATGCCGAGCTCATCGTGACGGAGTAGTGCTTGTTGGATTTCTCGCCATTCCTAAAAGTATGTGATTGTTCTTATACTACCTTGATATTCAGCTTACAGAAGAAATCACAGCCGATAAAGAACACGCAAATAGTACAGCCTTCCGAAAATTCCGCCGCCAGCTTTTCCATTCTTCACTTTCATATATCCTTCAATCGCTTCGCCCAGGCATGACGACTCCCGAGGTCTTGCGCTTTCCCGATGGCCATTTTCGACACACTATCTTTGGGCTTGGCCCCCAAGTACGCAGGCCCCTCTTTGTTTGATGTTCAATGCTGAACTCTCGATTTTAGATGTATGTCTCATCCCGACGACCTCGATGTGGAAGCCCTTCCCCGAACTCGGGATCATTCAGATGCCATTGCACAGAATCTCGAGCTTGGTCAGGCTTGGGATGAATACGGACTTGTTGCTGATATCGTAGTAAGTATGCCTCTTTGTCCTCTTTGTTGACTATGTTTTGTTCTCTCTTTCTATCTCTCTCTCTGTCTCTCACTTGAACCATTTTCTTGTTCGAACAATTACATTTCTTGCACTGCCCGCGTCGGACACCATGCTTATCTATGCGGACACCTTACTTATCTATCCACTACTTACTATATGGTCCATTACCTCGTACTTATTGTAATGATCCTATGCGGGGTGGAATAGGTTAGTTAATGCGAGGGAGGCTGCCTCCGGCTAGCCGATTCTGATTCCTTTGACCGGGTGTGATGTTAGTTAGATAGATATTGGAAGGAATTGACCTTTTAATAGTATTCTTTGTTCGATGCGCGCGAAAACAGGGATTGGTTCTTGATAAACTTGAGGACTTGAGCTAAGGGCTGGTTACCTTGAGTACTTTGCTAGGGCGGGAGAGACGGCCGGTTCGAACGAGGCTTGAGGTGAATCTTCGGTGGGAAACTGACTGATCATTGAGAGTGCGTATGACAGGGTTAAATAGTTGACCGGTGAGTATGGTATGGTCCGAGGGGTGAAAGGGAGTGAGGAAGATATATGGATATGAAGGGGAATAAGGGCATGTTGTACGATGAAGGGCTCGTCGTGGAGACAAGGGTGAAGGGGGTTGTTCAACGGAATCGTGCGAACCCGGGGTAAGTCACCTGATTTAGAGCGCGTACGCGTTCAAACCAAGGCGAAGCCTTACATCTCCCGGGGGGTATAGATGTTGACCCTCCGTGGTCAACGTACACAGATAAAACACAGTAGAGTAAGAGAAAAAAAAGAAAAGAAGAGGAAATATACATAAATCAAGGGAAAGGGTGGGAAAGAAGAGGGAAACAGATGGGAGAAGAGTCTAGATGGGGTGCCGTGAGGATGGAACATTACGGGGAATGAGGGGAACAGCGTGTATAAGATTGTCTGTGGCTTCGTCATCGAGGAGGTCGTCCGTTGAATGTGTTGGAAGGGGAAGTGACGAGCGGGAGCGGGGATAATAAGGGACGACACGAAACGCGCCGAATCGGAGAGCGGAGACAGCGCCGTCAAGTTCACTGAGTATGTATGACCCGCCTTGCGTTCGCCGAACAACTACCATAGGACCGATGTACCGCGCCTTCATCTTGCCAGATAAATCTTTTTCAATTTTGATATTGCGGACGAGAACAAGATCGCCAGGCTGAAAGTTGTAATCGTGGATGTTCGAGGTGAAGCGGCGTTCAAACTGCTCGATAGAGGCGATGCGGCCTTTGAGGATCTTCTGACGCATGGTCTCTATGTCTTCAGGGCGTTTGCGAAGCTGTCGGGCACGATGTTCAATGAGTTCGGCAGTAGAGAGTTGGGTGGAAGGGAGGGGAACGAGGTAAGTTGCTTCATGAATGTCGAAAGGAAGAGTCGGCTCGACGCCGTGAACCATGTAGTATGGGGAGAAACCTGTGGCCTTGACAATGGAGACACGCTCGGCCCAGAAGACTGCTGGTGCGACTGAAACCCATTTCTTTTCATCGCCGTCACATGCCTTGCTTATAGCTTCCCGGACGTTGTAGTGCTGGCGTTCAACGAGACCGTTTGCCTGGGAGTTGTAGGGTGAAATGCGGATGTGATGGATACCATAAGTCTTTGCGAGGTAGTCGACAGCTTTGACGAAAGGTGTTCCATTGTCGGTAATGATTTCTTCAACGGCTCCCCAACGGCAGAGTATTTCTTGGAAAATGAACATGCCGATGTGCTCGGCCGTTTCACGGCGAAGCGCACGCCATTCTGGATACGCTGTCAGGGCGCAGCGAGCGTGAACGATGTAGCGGAAGCGGTTGGCGAGTGGCTGAACCATGGTGTCAATGTGCACACGGCGGAAGAGGGAAGGGGGAATAGTGGGAGTGGGAGGAATATGTAGCTTCTGCGTAGAGCGGATTTGGCAGTCGTGACATGTCTTGACGTACCATTGGACGTCGCGGCCAAGCTGTGGCCACCAAAATCGTTCGAGGAGGCGAGTGCGTGTAGTGTAGATACCCTTGTGACCAAGCTCGTCATGCGCTTGGCGGAGGAGAGAGAATCGGCGCGGGAGTGGGATGTAGAGCTTGTGACGGCCTTGAGGGTCTTTGCGCCAGAGCTTGCCATCACGAACGAAGAAGTCGAGAGCGCGGCGGATGAAGGAAGGGATCTGGGAGTCTTTAAGGTGAGCCGGCTTCTCGGTGGTACGAAGAAAGTGTTCAATGTCGCCAATAGCCTTGTCGCGGTCAGCAGCTCGCGAGTTCTGGGGCGGATGAATTGGCAAGTCTTCACCGTGGTCGACGACAGTCCAGATAGCGGGTTCGAGCTTCCAATGGTGAGGTGACGTGGGGCGACATTGATGACGCGACCGAATTTCAAGCATAAAGCCGTTTGCGGCATCAATCCAGGCTTCAATATCTTCGTCAACTGGCGGGTCTTCTGGAGCGTGAGGTCGGCGAGAGAGACCATCGGCGGGGGCATGAGATTTTCCAGGTACGTGTCGAAGCTCGAAGTCAAAGAGAAGGATGCCGGCAATCCATCTATTAATGGTAGCGTTAGGGTGAATGTCTGGGTTATTTATCATGCCTTTGATATATTTGGCATCAACTTCAACGACAAGTTTCTTTACACCAACGAGCCAGAGTTTAGTAGCCTGTAGGGCACGGAAGAGACCGTAGAGCTCGATCTTCGCTTGAGAATAGCGTGATTCACGCTCGTTCCAGGTGATGCTGCCGAAACGAGATGGGTAGCGCTTGCCGTCGTTGCCAATCTGCGAGAGAATGTAGCCCACGGCAATGTAGGAAGAGTCTACAGCAAGAACAACCTCTTTGTCAGAGGAGTGGTTGATAGGGCGAAGCGCGGGAGAGTTGACGGCGAGATGCTTGAGTGTGTTCATAGCATTGATATGTTCAGGAGTGAAGGCGAAGTCAGTGTCTTTCTTTGTGAGGTTGACAAGAGGACGAGCATGAGTGGCGAAGTCCTTGATAAAGATGCGCATGACACCAAGTGTGCCTAGGAAACCACGGACTTCAGTGAGGTCCTTGCAGTGTGGCCAGTCCTTGATTTTCTGAACGCGACTATCATCTGGTTCGCGGCCAGCGTAGGTGCAGTTGTGGCCAACGATAAGGGCGCGAGAGACACAGAGCTCAACCTTCTTGCCGGAGAAGGTGCCGCCAAACTTCATCATACGGTGAGCGAGGCGGTACATGTTAGAGAGGTGTTCGTAGACGAAACGGCGTATGGCTGGGTTTTCGGGAATGGTTTCGTAGGAGCCGTCTTTCAGTTCGTAGCGAGTTCGAGGACCTTTAACAGGGACATCATCAATGTAAGGGTTAGTGATGTGGGGGATTTCGGAGCGGAATATGAAGGAGACGTCGCCTTGCATAATTTGCGCAGCATTGGTGTAACCCATAGGAAGTGAAGCGAGTCGTTTGGCACCAAGGGGCGTCTGGAATGTGGTAAGGTCTCTTGATCGTTCATCGAGGGCACGCTGATCGAAGGCGACAAAGGCGTCGTAGAGCCCATAACATCCGCAGCCGCCAAAGTCTTCGGCGTAGGTTTCCATGCGAGGTGGGAGAGATGCGTCCTTGATGGTGACCGCGTTGAGTGGTTGGAGGTCATGAACAAGCTGTAGCGAGGAGCCGTCCTTCTTGAGTACGCAGAACCATCGAGATCGGTAAGATGAGCTTGAATCTTCATAAACGCCGGATGCAATTTTGTCCTTAATGATGTCGATAACGCGGGAATAGATGCCAGGTGGGATTGGGATGTTGCGAAGTGCCCATGGTACATGTTCGACTGTAGGGATAATTACTGGGTCAAACCATTCGGATGAGAACCTGCCTTTCTCTGGTTCCTCCCATGCGAAGGCGAACTCTTTATCTCGCAGAATGAAGTGGGCGAGCTTCTTTTCTTCGGGCCAGAGCCAGTTGGTAGGGTCGATATTCTGCTTTTCGAAGCGTTCTTGGGTGTAGCGTTTGCCAGGCGAGAAGTCGGGAGGGTGTGTAGGAAGTGGGGATAAATCGGCGAGGATGTCAGGGGGATCTCGTCGTACGATGCGGTATTCAGCAGGGAGTGTTGTCGCGACTGGTTTAATGCGGTTAGCGACTTTCTTGTAGGGCTTTTTCTGAGATAATAAAGACGTAGCAGATGGAAGCGGGGGATCGGTAGGTAAGAAAGAAGATTGGGAACCATGAGACAAAGCGAACGAGTCAAATGAAGGTGAAGTAAATGGAATATCATAGTAGTAACCGCTCAGAACTTTTCCCTTTTCGCAAATGCGCACATGGCCACTAGGGGACATAGCGTTTGCAGGGAGGTCATCATTCGCGGCAAAGAATATGGAAATATTAGGTACGGAATAATTGTCCAGGGGTTTTTCAAGATATACAGTAGAGCGGGGGTCGGAATGATAAAGAGACGGAGTAGAAATATTAGAAGTATAATGAGATACATAAGAAGAGGGCAGAGGGGGCGGCGGAGTATGGGGATCAGGCAGAGAGAGCGCGGGAAGTATAGTATGAATTAAGGACGAGACCGAAGATGGTTGCGAGACTGGTTTAGAAAACGGGGAGGGATCAATGAAAGTGGTATAAACGGAATAGGTATTGGAGAAGACGTCTCCCCTTACTGGCGGATCATCGACGCGTGAAAATGGTGTGAGCCTTGGTGCATGGGGTGCATGTGGCCTTTCGGGCAGCGCTTGACTCATCGTTCGGTCGTGGGGACAGAGATGCGAAGGTTGGAGTTGGGGTCACGAAGCGAAATGTCTTGTCGCCCGTCAGGATAGTCTTGGGTTACAGCCGAAAGTAGGCAATGGAACGGGCGTCCAAGGAGGATGTCGTACGGAGCCGATTCGACAACCTGAATCTGCAGGTAAAAGTCAAGTTCGCCGATGCTTGCTTTGATATTGCGTGCAAGGCCGAGCGTCTTGTTTGTCGTGAGGTTTGCTGATTCCATAACGAGGCCT